ATAAGGCGAAAGTCCATAATTAACTCTAATCCTATGTAAATATTTAGTTCAATATTAATAGATATCGTAATAACTATTATAATTACTATAGATTATACAATAGACAAAATTTCGTTCATTACGTCTTATATGGAGATATTATTATAGCAAGTATTGGAAGTATATTAATAACTTGCTATAGTAAAAATATATTCCGAAATAATATTCACTAGTTATTATTCTCCTAATAGCTAATAACGAAAGAGGGCTTAAGATCACAAAAATTTTCAGATTATTTACAATATATGCGTTCGTTGAAGCTACTAAGTTTTAGCTTTTAAAATTAATGTAACAGGCCCTTATTAGTGTCTAAATTTACTGCAAAATACTTACGATACAAATGCAATATAAAAAATACTTTATTCGATCAATATAATTTAATAGTTACGTTGATAGTTAGATGATATGCATAGCGATAATAACAATCCATAATCGAATTCTTTCAAAATTTTATCATTATAAATGAATTGACTGCTTCTTATAACTGAAAATTAAATTTAAGAAATATTATATTGATTAACTATTGTAATTAACCATATTTTATTTGCTGTACATTACAAGCTTTATGACATATACGAATTATAAATACATAGATATTTATTTATATATATTGATATAGAATTATCAACACATAAATCGAATATGTTGCGTAATATTTATGTAAAGTTTAAGACTGTAAAATTATCAAACAGCGACATTAGGAGCCTCTCATTCAGCTTACAAAAGCTATAATCTCAAAACTACAACACTTATAGGTAAACTATTAGATTTTGTCCAATTGATTTGTATACATGAGCATGTATTCCATGAACTGTCAGCGAAGTTATTGTTATTATCAATCGATTAGTATATAATTTTAAGCTTGGATTTTAACATTCTAATATTTGCATAGCTATTAATCGATTTATTATTGATAACTTTCCTAACTGTACGAAATACATTTAATCTACGAGTAAACATAATATTGCTACTACGAAGAGTAAGGTATTAAATATTCGTAAAAATATAGATATTAATTTATTTTCGTTTTTAAACGCCAATTATTATTTACTGTTGATGTATGTAATAAGATTATATCATAAAGAAGACAAAGTGAACGAAATGAAGCAAGATGGAGTTGCACATTATCATGATTCATAAGTTGCTTACTTATCGCATAGAAATATCACTATCAATAACTTGAGCTGACCAGTGGAAGTGGAAACTAGACTAACTGCTCTTTATATTCAGAATGTGTTACTCAGACAGAAAAGTACGTGGTATGAGATTATTTTGATAACATCTTGACATATAATCCTGTCACGAGGACGCAATGCTACTATATAGTGTAAAGGACATACTAATAACTCTAAAATGTAGAAATCGTTTTCAAGTACATCACACCTTGCTACAACAACTTTGCTTACGCCCACGAATTTTACCATTTAATAATGGCTTGTAAAACATCAATCGGCCATTCACATTGTGATCACGAGAGAATAGGATAAGACGATGAATACAGTACTGAAAAAAAAGCGCTTCTATAGCGTATATAATTGTACCATTTTATCTCTGATCTCCCTATATTGAATATAGAATCTATAACGAGGCTTGGTCGCCCGCGTAGCAACTTATTGCATTGATTGTGAAAACAAGCCAGAAAGCGGCAGGTATCTATAAATGAGTCACTATTCATCAAGCTATCGAGCTTGTAAAAGATTGCTCTTGATAGAGTATAAAATCATTGAGAAGACTGATAAGTAATTTTTAATTTCGGTATTCATTATTTGGAGCGGTATTTCTTTCTACCCCGTAGGTGATGAATTGACTATTTTATAAAAAATTTAATCTTTCAAAATTAACAAAGCTCTATCATTTCTACCCCTTTCTACGGTATAATAGAATACTATATATATATATATCATCGAAATGTTGTATCAATTAGAATAGATTTTGCGATTTTACACCTAAATAGAAATGTAATACGTGATATGGAGCAATATATAGTATAAATAGAATAATAGGATGATAGTATGAAGTAAGGACACGGTAGTGTAAGCTATTGCTGTCTGCCAGGCAGGTGTACCTTTATCATTTACGTCATCTCATTATAAACGGTAAATTATGTATCTGCAAAATGTATTGTCATTGCATCCTGTCCTATTGGAGGGCATGCGTTATCAATTTGTTGTTGGCCAATCTTGTTCAAGCTTATTATTTAGCAAACTACAATTGAACAATGATTTCATCATTGTTGCCCATAGCAACGGGAAAAAGAAATCTTAATCGACGACTGAGACGATATTCAACAGCTAAATTTGTTTAAAGTTTTATTTAGTTGGGTTTGTTATGCTATAGTGTATTATTACCATCCATTTTCTCCATTTTTTTATTTCATCGTATCTTTTCAACACTTAACATAAGCCCTGATATAGCAAATTACCGCGTACATATCATTTGATCACAAGAAAAAGTTGGGAAAGAATAAGTCAACTGCCGCAAAAAATCGATACGCATAGTTAGCGAGAGGGAAAGAGAGCCTAGGTCTGTTTTCCTATCCATTTCATCAAAGTATTATTATTAATTTTCAACCAGTCATTCAATAAAAAAATAATCATCATTGGACCAGTATCAAGAAAAAATTAAATTTAAAAGAAGGCATCGAAGGAAAGAAAAATTACTTAGCAATAAAATTTCTTAAACTATTCACTATTAATATCTTGGTAAAGCGTCAAAGAAAATCAGGTAGAAACTACTTTTTAAGATTGAAAATTAAACGTATAAAGTTAAAAATTTTTACGTTTAGTATTTCTTGCTTATTTTAACCAAATAAAAAAATCAATTTTTTAATCGATGTTAAATTATGAATGGAGTCTTTCATGATAGACTTCATATTTTGTTGATGATTAAATTATTTCCTTGTCTTGTTCTGTCATGGCGATTGGTTGCACTGAAAGTTTTTAGACGATAGTCTTTCAAGATTTTTGAATTTTATATCGCAGACTACTAAATCATCTCCTTTTTTCCGTTCTTCTTATTAATATACCCTAGAGCTTAACAACTTCAGTTTCATTCTCTATAAACAAAAAAATATGTGAGATAGATATCGATATTTACCTTGACGATGGAAGACTTTTTGATGCTATAATAAATAGTGAGAAATAAAAAAAACCATGGCATTAATGTTAAAGACAAATAGCTGTTATGAAACGCGATATAGCAGTCAATAGCTAATGGATATTGAAAGCAGTAATTAATAATACAAAATTTTCTGTTGGCATTATTTTTGGTTATAGAAGCCAAGAAATAGTTGCTGCATCTCCATGCTTTTTCTTCAGCATTAGTATACACTCTGCTATTTATTGCCATTAAAATTTTTGACTTTTTCCTTTCTTTTTCTCCTTAAATAGTGTTCAGTGACTATCCTATGGATGTCGATCACAGAAAAAGAGAGTCATTCTAATTTCTAGAAAGGTATGAACAATTTAACTTTTCTATTGATGAAGCATACGAAAAATTTGCCATCATATCTAGCAGACAAAATTAATTTTTTCGCTTCACTACCGCGATCAAGAGGCATAGTTTAGAACAGCAAAATGAAATTATATCTTTCTCATCATCTATAATCATTGCAGCTTAATTTGATACACAGGTGTAGTTAGTGGCAAATTAACTGTACTTTAAAATACGATAAAAGTAATCACGTAATATTATATTTGTAGGAGCGGCGTTTCAGAGCCTATTCATATATCGATAATATTCTCGGCAATTGAGCTAAATTAAAAGTAAAGTTTTAAAATTGAGGTTGAAAAAATAAAATCCTAAAGTCTGTGACGACTATAAGAAAAGTTATTAAAAAGTTTAGAAATAATTATGTTGAAAAAGAGAAAATTAATTTCTATTCCGATTTCTTTCTCATTGTCATCATTCTTAGACTGAAACGACACATTTCTCAGAAAATCAACTATCTTATATTATACTTGTTAACGAGGATAAGACGTGGAAAAAATCGAATAAAGTAGATCTAGAAGTGGTAGAAAGTTATCTACGGGGATGAAAAAAGAGTTCTCAGTAAGTTATACGTTATTATTGTGGGATCTCCATTACTAAGGTTACTTTTATAACAATATTATTGATCGAAATCAAACAGCAAGCAATTGCAACATTACCGATAGAAGTTAGACACTATGAAGCGCGGCTCGAAAGGCTTCTCGCATCGTGATAGTAAACTAACTTATCACGGCGATGAGGCCTCAACTTCTGTCAGAGAAGTTGATTCGGGTGATGATGGTAGCATTGGAAGGCCATCATTTAAGGCGTCGGTATCGGCTTCGGCTAAAGAGCGCATTACTATCAATTGTGGCGGTACACGCCATGAAACTTATTGGGCAACATTAAAGAAATTGCCTGATACACGATTGTCTTGGCTATGTGATACTAATTCAAAGAATACTACAGATTATGATCCAGAGAAAAATGAATATTTTTTTGATCGTCATCCTCATGTATTTGCTGCAATTTTAAATTATTATCGTACTGGTAAATTACATAAACCGTCTAATGTATGCGGTCCGCTCTTTGAAGAAGAATTAAATTATTGGGGTATCGACGAAAATCAAATTGAGGCATGTTGTTGGTTAAGTTATCGTGAGCATCGCGACGCTAAAGATACACTAAGAAATATTGAATTTTACGAAACCGATGATTTGGAAGAAAGAGATGTTGAAGAAACCTTCTTTGATCGTATACAAAATAGACGTCAAACGCGATGGCAGAAATTAAAGCCTAAGTTATGGAAGCTCGTCGATGACCCATACTCATCACGGTCTGCTAAAGTAAGTTCGATCGATTACATTATCATAGTACTATATAAGGAAGATTTATTTCTTTGTCCCCCTTCTCCTTCCAAATTGACTAGACAACCGTACAATTAGCTTACAGTTTTAAATGCGATTAGATTGTATTAAAAGGGCAGATCTATTTCAAGGATTGAAAATTTTAATTACAGTCACCATTTCTATGTATTTCAAATCGGGCTTATTTTAATGTTCAAATCTAGCGTTTCCAAAGCAAAGTCAATTATTTTCTTGTTATGGAATTCGAATCCAATCTTATTTAAGTAGATCTAGATTCTGCGGTATCATTTATCCGTAATAATAACTATAAAAAATACATTTTGAGAGAGACAAAGAGCAGATAGACCGGTCAAAATGGGCCTTGTAAGTGGTATTGATAGGATTTTTGAATTGGCAACTAAAATTCCTGCATGACAACATCATACACATAAAACTAGCTAGTCTGCATTTATATGGTTGCAACTTTACCGACCCAAGCGGCTTAGCATAATTCGTGCAGGGCTATAACTAGTCTTACGCCTATATCGTCAGCATTTCCCGTCTACCGCATCAACGTAAATTTCCCTTTTTCTTTAATTAAGATTTTTATAGCAATATTTTCGACAGCACCATGTATATTCTATCCTTTAATAAACAGTCAAAAGTCCGCTGCAGTCTTTGGTATTCGGAATGGATATTTCATTTTGTTGGGTAGAAAGGAATTCCTCGCTATCTCTATAAAAGGGCTGTTGTTGCATAAAATAAAGAACTGTAAATTTCTGTATAGATTTATTCATTTTATACCCAAAGGCATTAATATCAAATTAAAAGTTTTATATTGTATACGGAATGATTCATTGCAAAATTGTTGATTATTTTAGAATACAAGACAAAGCAGACGCCTTTAGCAAACAGAATCTGGTGCTGTAATAGTTCTCTGCTGTTCTTGCTGTAGGCATTTATTTATTTAGTTAGTGATGTTTTATGATATTCGTACAGCTTCAAGAGTAAGCAGGAGTACGAGTCGGTTTACATGGAGTGAAATGTTAGAGGTACTTAAACTCATTACAAAGTACGGCATCAAAAAATATATATAAAAAGAAGTACATAGGCCACTGTAGAGAGTCAGTAAGAGTAAGGGAGATTTGCGTAGAGTAAAAATTTGAAGTAATTAAAACTTGCAACAAGTACCGCATCAAAGGATAAGAACGAAAATAATAACCCTACGCCGTACAGTACTCATCGCTAAACGTCGAAAGAAAGTGATTTCTTAAAAATTTCACCGTTGGAGACTAATCTCTTTATTTCCTTTACGATTCTATTCTATCGCTTAATGAATAATAATTTCAGGATATTTTAAAGGAGTAAGCTAATGTATAGGTATATCTGAAGCAACATTCGCAAGACTGCAGTATGTTGCCACGTTACCGTAAGACAGCGTGTTATTCGATAATTTAAAACATTCTGTACAAATAGTAAAACAAATACAATTAGCTATCGATATTTGTAAGAGGAAATAGTCTTGGATAATTTCACATGAGGGAATCCATATTTCGGCCAATTTCGTGATAGTTCCTGTCTCATTTTCGTTTATTTTACGCTAAATTTAAAATATGCTTTAATCCTTATTTATGTATTTTTTCTCGTTTTTAGATTTTAGCCATCTTTTCACTGTTTTTAATTCTCGTTTCCATCCTCGTTTTCTGCTTGGAAACCATGCAACCGGATACAAATATTACATATGAGGAAAATATTAGCATCCTTACTACAAATGCAAGTCGTATACAAAAGCAGCTATTCCCTTCATTATCAATACTGGTTGTGGATTATATTTGCAATGCATTTTTCACTCTCGAATTCATAGTACACTTTGCCGTTTGTCCAGATCCTAGATACTTTTTCAGGAGTTTTATGAACCTAATCGATTTGTTAGCATTGATCCCCTTCTATATCAATTTAGCGCTATCTCGTGTCATCCAAGGTGCCATCATTCGTAATGCTACTGCTGCAGCCGCAACGGTATCACGCACATCGATAGAATCACTGGCTAGCAATATTACTAATAATTCAACGTCTACCTCACCAGCGTATATTTCGATACCAGAATCAGTACTAACGTTTTCTGAAGTTATTCGCTTTTTCAGATTAGTACGTCTATTTAGAATAATTAAATTATCGAAGCATTTAACTGGATTAAAAATTCTGTATCATACTTTGCGCAGTAGTTGGAAAGAGTTACTCTTACTGGTTATATTCGTGACTATTCAAGTTCTCTTCTTTTCTACAATAATCTATTACACCGAGAAAGGTTCATATCATAATAAATTCTATAGTATACCTGAAGGCTTCTGGTGGGCTATCGCTACAATGACTACAGTTGGCTATGGTGATATCGCACCTAAAACTACGATGGGTAAGATTGTTGGTTCAGTATGCGCCATCTTTGGAGTATTAACCATTGCTCTGCCGGTACCTGTTATCGTTAATAATTTCTCGTTGTACTACAATCACGCTCAAGCACAAGCTAAATTGCCTAAAAAGATGAAAATTAAGGCAATCGATGCTACATTAGCTAATGAGTCCGAACGACCAGATTGGTCAAGTTCAGGATTCGATAGAATATCATCTACTGATTCAACGCTAAGTGCCACAAATAAAACAACCACACATCCTAGAGCAGGTACGAAAAGAGTCAGTCCGGTGCATGGTCGAGAAAGAAGGAAAGATTCACGCGGCAACGGCAACAAAAAATTAAACCGAGATGGTGCTAATCGTGTGGTTCAACCACCGCCAACATTACAAGCTTACATTGATCGATTGAATGCTAGTCATGATTCAAGACGTGAATCATTAACGACTATCACAACAGTGCGTAGTATTGTGGATGTGCCCGATGATGATATATATGAATCAGAAATTTTACCACCTATTCCCGAAAATACTACTGAAATTAATGGTACATTACCGCTTCCATCAAGTGCTAGTATTGAAGCATGATAATAAATAATAATATTACCGTAATTATATTTCTACTCTAATGTTCTATTGCCAAATATACGTATGTTATTATTACATTGATCGCTAAATCATCGAGACGAAGGCACCATTTTAATTTTGATGTAAAAAAATAATTTAAATTAAATTATTACTTTAATAGTAAATACCTAAGATTATTTGTATGTGGTTACATGTACACATAAGTGCAGCATATATACGTTTGTATGTGTACAGTAGATAATGTATTGATGAATCTTTGTTTTTGTTTTTTACTCTATACAACATCAATTTATATATAGATTAAATTAAAATATCTGTAAGAAAGATGTAGGATACAGAATTTTTACGCCACTACAGTGACTAAGTGTAAATGACTATTCAATTGTGCATCGTTCACCGCTTCGATGCGTTTTATCATTTTTGAAAGTATTAGTACTGTAGTTGATCAACAAATTCCTTGAAAGGTGGTAATCATCTTTACCTGCCTTTGTATACTTCAATCTCTTAGAATTTTATTTCTATTATAGGCTTCTAGCACTGTTTCATGTTATCTTTATTGCTTGCATTAATATTCCCGTTCAGCCGCGGTCTTATATTTGTCTTTTTTTTTTTATGAAAAAAATTGAGTAAATGATCAAATCTTGTTACGATTGCTTATTTGTGCCTAGTTTATTATATAGAATAAGTCAACTAGTTGCCAAATAGCGGCATTAAGCCATTTCACTTCTTGGTCAACATGCCAAATCGTACGATTAAAAAATAAATAATATGTGGGCTTTGACTCAAGTGTTTCATCGTTATTGTGATTATTATTATTGTTAAAAGGATTGTAATATTGTACCCAAGAGTAATGTACAGTACTAGTCTACTTTCTTGACTTTCAGTCGAGTTATCTAACAGATGTACGTGTATTGATGAAAATAATCAATTATTTATTAATTTCTTCATCATTGACATTTATTGATATACGTATTCGTACAATATCTTTATTACCAAGATTGTTCAAGCAATAAAAATTGAATTATTCAAAGATTCTGAAACTAGATGTATGTTGCCTTTGCTCAATTTTATCTTTCTTACTGGCTCTGTTGGGTGTCTGTCCTTACAAGTTGAACTACTATGCCAATAAGGATGACCTTCCATGCCAAGATAAATCTTGAAGGAGTAGACGCTCAATTAATAGCAATAATATTTATCAATAACATTGACGGATTATAATATATGATTCGTGTCCAGGGCATGCACTAAACATTAACTGTAACATCTTGAATATAAACTACATCATTGAAAGATGGCCAATATAATGTCATCTTATTTGGCAGGTTATTCAAAGTTATTGGCATACTGCATCTCCGATAAGTTCTTGTCATGACGAAAGGATTTCATTTTGGAATTTCTAGACTACTGGGTATCTGGGTATCGCATTCTCTCCAGTCCATTTCAAGTCTAGCGGTCATGGACTACTAGAAAAAAAAGGATTGCCGTTTGCAGTAGTCCTTGCTTGGGACCCAGTAGACATGACAATGATAATACTGTACGCGTATAACATTGTTTTTTTCTTCTTTAGCAAGACTCAAAATAATCATGACTAATAAATTGATTTTAATGAGCCAATGTATTGATTGATGGATTGCATCGCTTGGCAATCTGCTTCATTAAGCCTGCTGGTCATCGATCGAGGCAGTATTGTACAGCTCCACTGCGCAAATTCAGTATGATTTCACTAAGCTGACCGACTCTCAGCGACATCGTTTAGAGGTGAGTGATGGTCGTATGAGAGTCACATGCTTTGTGATGGATGCGCTGTGACACTGCGCGGGCGCAATGTTACAGTAAGTTCCTACAGTACTGTACTGTAAACTGCAAGGAAATCCCCACCGTCAGCAGTACTGTACAGTACTGTACACAAAGACACCGGTGTTCTACAGTACAGTACAGTACCGTACAGTGTAGACGGACCAGTACTATACTACAGTACAGTATAGGGGGAATACAGTCAGTATAAAACCCCCCCCCCCAAATTTTTAAGACTTGTTCTTATATATGGGACTTAGCGGGCAGTCGACGACGTAACTGCAATTGAAAATTTTTTTTTTTCACTGCAAATTTCACTGAGATCATTTTGTCCATTGGTTGGCAAAGTTAGCCCCTCGAATACCTTCAATTGCCTTCCAATCGCTAGCTGATAGTAGTTCAACGAGTTGATTACCCATTTCAGCAGTCTATTTTACCTTTATTGGTTGCTTTCAAAGTGCCCGTACTCTTGTTGGTACTACCCTTGACATTTCCGCCGCTGGGCTTAAGCAATTTTGCCATTGACGTCGTTGGACGTGAAGTGGGGGAAAGCGAGTTAATGACCTCGTTGTAGACACGTATTTTGATTAATTCATTGTAGACGGTAGGAAAGTAGCAATTCAAGATGGCCAAAAAGCTAACTTGTCAGTGTTTGAATATTACTATCCATTGGCGAGAAAAGCAAGCTATTGATACAATGGAGAAGTTAAAGCATAAAGATAAGTTCTTCAATCAACCACTGGATCAAATAAAATTAAACTTGGGAGGTATCAATCAGGTATGCAAAAGTAAATGTACATTGCAGATGGATTTGCCGTTGGCTAGTCCAACTTTGCTTTGAAAATGTGTCATAGTGTCAGTCCAACATGTTACTGCAAATACTCTTGCATGGATATCAAGCTTAGACCAATTTCCATATTCCTACTTTCTCCTTTCGGATGACTATACTGTATGTCCGTACTGTGTACTTGCTTTTACTCAATACAGGTGATAAAAAGAGGTTCGTACTGCGATTGAGAAATGACGATTTAACACCTAGAACCCAAACTCGCATGAATTTTCTTCCGTCTGTTATCTTCTTTCCCAGAGGTGGAATCGACGTTGTATTAGCATTCAAAGCTGACAATGATTGTACTGTACAGTACTGCATTTGCTTTAATGTAAACCGGCAGACGTAGCGAATGATAAATAAATATTATGCTATGATAGATAACTTTTCATTGCTACGCTGTTGGACACTTGACCAAATAGATTGATATCCCACGGATTTAAAGTACTGCCATTCACAGAATATTTTGGAAATTGTTGAAGTAAATGTATATAGGTCAATCGTAAGTCTTATCGTATGCGGGCCTTGAGTATTTCTTATACTGTATGCCCACTGATGCAAAGATTCTATTCTTGACTTCTCGTTCGATTGCACTTTTAAAAATGTACAACTTAGTACGTATTGTTTTAACGTTTCTATAATACATCGAGATTGGATCTTATCAGTCAGACATTATTATTGCTACAATTTCAATACAAGTTGTTGCATCCAGAATAAGCTGCATCGGGTAGAGGTAGCGGCATGCCAGCTAATAAACATCCTTCCTATGCGATCGTGAATGATGGATGCATTATTACGTATAAAAGAAGTACAGTACTGTACAATGTACATGGTCGTATGGCCAGAGACATTATGATTATCTGTGTAGTCTGTGCAGTGCAGTTATTCTATCACAGTATTTGAAGATTAAGATTTTACAAACTATAAAATCGCTACTAGTAGACGACGACGTTGGTATTATTACTCCTGTTGCGATAAAGGTTATGCGTAGTTGTATCAGGACATTATAGTACATCAATTAGATAACCGAACTTCGAGCGTACAGTTCGATCAGAAGGCCTTAGAGCTAGACTCCGCAGAGGGGTTAAATTACGATATCTTATGAACTACGAGTACTATGTATACAGTACTCTTTCGTAAGTTTTCTGCCTTAATCGTTAGTTGTAGCAACATTTTGTATACTCTCGTCATTCATGCTGTATTCTTCGTGTACGGTAGATTTTGTAGCAGCGAACTGTAAATGACTAGGTGTAACTGCGAACTGGTGATATAGAATGAGAGATTGTGTTTACTTAAATGTGCATCCGCAACTACTGCAAGAAAAATATTTTGTTGTGGACCACCTACGTAAAGTACAGTACGGCGGTGCATCTACGCTTACTCCCAATGTTTGCTTCCGTTGATCATTTTCTATGAACTTTACAGACGATACGTATCAGATCTATATAGATATAACACTGAGTGCCTTACTGTACTGTACAGTAATATGGTTCGGAAATTGTCTTACATTGTCTTCTTAAAGGATAAAAGTACTGCAATAATGAGTTTACTTAATAATACGGAACTCCTAGATAAAAGATATTTTCAATCTTGATCACCGATGTTATTTTCAAATGGCTTTACAGGAACATAAATTTCTAGTTCGGCAAAGAGCCGTTAAGGAATGGATCATATGTAGTTGCGTCAATTGCAATACAGATACACATGCAATTCACTCTCGCATTGGCTTAGATATGGTACTTGCCACTCGAGAATTACAGGTATGATATTATTTGATGATAATTTGTAGCTAATAGAATAGGTAAAATGTAAACCTCTATCAACTACGAGATTGTTTAGCGCAACCAATATAGTACAAGACTGTGTTGATCTCTGCGGCGAATTGTGAGCTTTTTTATTCAATTGAAAAGTAATGCTATCTGGTTGAAGTGTAAATGTATATTAAATGTTTGGAATTACCTAAATTAAAGTACACTGCTATCTCTCAAATTAAAAGTTGGGTCACTTTTACTAGATAAATAAAGTGAATACTTCTTTGGGTGTTGTACAAATTAAAAATTAACACGAAACGAGTAATACTGCACTATTATGTTTAGGATTGTACCCGTACGAAACTTTTTCCTCATTTGCACTTTTTCATTTGCCTTTACTCTACTTATGATCCGAAATATTGTTTTTTATTTATACTAGCCTTTCGATGAGGTCGCTGCCACAAAGTCGGATAAGATGAGATTTTGTCCGGCGTTTCGTATTAAAATTGGCCTTAGAAACGGAACAGAACCAAACGGTAAGTTTGGAGTATATAGATTTAACGATTCTATGTGAAATTATTATTTTTCTTGTAATAAATCTCTCGTATACCCGTAAGTCCTTTCCCAGTCGTATAACACATGGTCTTTAAACTAACTAAAATGTTACGATAGGATTACATTTATCTTATAACTTATACCGCTATACATATAGCTCGCTAACTATCTGCATCATACATTACAGTTGTCATTTACTATATTAATACCTGAAATAGTTAAACTTTTTACCAGTACGTTGTATTCGTATTTTGTGTACGGTCTACAGTAGAAATAGGTATTGAGCACCTACTTAAAATAAAATATATTTGCACATGACCCAGAAACTATTAAAATAGGATTCAGTGGGTAGAGTTCTGCAAATTCTCGATTAATGATGTAAAGATTAAATTTATAATTCTATTATTTACTGGATACGCATTAAATCGCATATTCTTACTCTTTTGTTATGACGTTTCAACTGTTCAGATTTATTATGGATAAGGACTAATAATGAAACTATATAGAGGACTGTAATTACAATAGTAAAGAATCTGCCATAGTAGTTATTTCGAATAATGCTTGCTTAATTTGCTTTAGCTTCTGATTACTTATGCGAGTAAAATGTTACGTACGAGAAACTTTTAAGATATCTACAGTATGTTACAGCATACTTATTCCGATTTAAATCAATTCGTATACTAGATAATTTAAGCAGAAAATTTTATGCACAGTATATACGAGTATATACATTATGTAAATTTTGGATCAGATTTATTGATATAGCTACAATATCGTATAATATTCAAGAATCGCGTCGGTAGTAGTAAAATAGTATTCGTATAGATAATCTTACCAAGTATTATTCACACATTATAGATTCAAGAGCTGTCCTTTTTGGAGAAAAAATTCGATCTGTATTCAATTCTATTGATAAAATTTCACAAAAGTACTTGGAAGTCGAGGAACATGCTATGAAGGAAAGAATCAAGTATGTAGTTGCAAATGCTATCGATAGACTTGTAGTGTAAAGTTATTACAATGATAGTATTTCGTAACTTGCAAGCATGCAAGTATTTAAACGTTGATATCTATAGATTTGCTCAAGTAATTGATAATTTACAAGCGATGCTATCTTATTGACTTATTAACTGTACATTGCAGCTCTTATATTGCAAAACAGAAAGCAGAATACACTGCATTGAAGGTGCTGATAAAAAGCCATGAAGCCTCTCTGCGAAAGTGAGAATTTAGTCATAGCTATTTCCTGAAAATTTATTAAGAGTTTTCTGTACAAACACTTACTAAACAAGTTCTTTACCGTAATTTTTCATTTTCATAGAGTTGTCATTAATGCCACTGGTGAAGATATTGAAAGCAATATTTCAGATGCAATGTTAGAAGATGATGGCGATGAGTTACCAGTAGCTGATGATATAACCGAAGACAATAGTCATAATCATCATAATATAGATAATATAGCCAATCGATCTCAATGGAAGCAAAAAAAGCCTTGGAATGATGACAAAACTAGTTCCTATTTATCTCAGATGTCGAGGGTAAGAACTTTTGAGATTTTAGTGACGGGTACGTTAGAATTTCTTATTTTACTATAAATTTCTACAGAGATCTGCCGGTCGTCAAAATAATGTACCTGAAATGAATACTAGTGGTTACCAGGACGAAGATCGTATGTTCATTTTTAAGATATTGATAAATAAATTTAACTGTAAACTAATTTCATGAATTTATAACAACTGTAGCTGATGCATTGTTTGCAATGGATGAAGATGATACTACCATCGAAAAGCCTATGCAATGCGAATCGGATGATTTATCTAGCAACAGTAATAGCCATAGCGACGGTTTGTGGAGTCACTATAAAAGAGAGTTGTGATTTCAGAGAAATATTATGAAATTGAATCAGTAGCTTACTCATTCTATGTTCTTTTTTTACAGATAATAGTTTGTCCGAAGAAGTTGAAAATGTAGTTGTTGGGCTACCAGCTACTCGATTGCGTTCTATAAGCCGGCCTTGTGCGAATTCCTTGCCAATAAATATAGGTTTATTAGAACGCAGTCAGAAGAAGCCTATTGACATTGAAGTACGTAATAATGCAGTTATAGCTAAATATATTCTTAGTAACATAGCAGTCACTTTTGAAATATGAAGGCGATAGTGACCAATTTATCTATTTTTAGCCGTTACCAGAAAGGCATGATAATATAGCCGAAAGTATGAAGGCTATCGCAAATAGCATCAGTAAGAAAAGTACCGATATTTTTGGGGAATTACCACGAAATCGCGTCAATACCTTCAGCAAATACGACAAATACGATTATAAATAAAATATTTGAAAGTGAATATAAACTAATTCTTATTCTATTATGCAGCGTACTCTAGCAATTCTTTTGTTGATTTACACTTAGAGCATCAAATTAATGATAGCTTTAAATTTCGTCGATGAAGATTTGATGGATTGTACGTATGCACGGGTCACCATTTGATCAATAAATTCGTGATGGGATTTGACGGATTGTGTGCACATAATGTAGATTGACAGAAATGTTCATGGATGGATAGAAATCATTTGATCATAATATTAGTATAATGTTATATGTGCTTTTTGCTACTTCTAATGGAAATACTTGATGAAGATTATTATTTTAATTTAACCGTGTGACACTTCAGGCTTTGCTAGATATATCACAGTAGGTTGGTAACACAAATAAATACTCGATTTCATTGTGATTGTGGTAATTCCAGGATTTATCGAATTGTATGTGCTGTGATATTGCATATGTATGAAGCGTTTTATCTAATTTATATGTACGAACCTTGTGTAGACCATGATGGGATTGCTATGTATGTTAATGCAATTTAGACAAGTTATGCATGAGCATGATAATCTAAAAGAATTTACGCAAACTTTGACAACTGCATTTTATAAATGGAAAAATATTATCACAAATTAAATTAAATAAATCTAAATTATACTTCTGCACTTTTATGATTTATCCTGATAATACTGTTTGTGAGAAATAGTTCAGGAAACTAATTATCAAATTTGAATTAGCTCGTATCGGGTTTTCATGTTTCATAATATTTATACTCTATCTCCTGCATTCTGCTGTACCTAGTATACAGGATTGCTTATCTGCATTAGTAACGTACTGTACTGTACGTGATTATACGATTGATGGTCAATCCGATACCAGTAGATGGTGTTATTGAATTAATGTACTTTAATAATACTGTAGTTGCTAATCGTTTAGAGTAACAGTTTGAAATTTCGGAGACTGAGAAATAGTTAAATTTGGGATGCAGTATCGGACACTCTCCGAGATCTTTGTGCAACTATGTACAACGAGTCCTCGAGCTCGTATTGAGGCGTACAGCAAGTACGCGACAACACAACAATTACAATAGTGTGAAGAAAATAGAAATGAAGTATTGCGTGGCAGAATTAGCTTTCTCTTCATATTACTTATTCCGCATGTGAAACTATACTTCACGATTATACGCGTATGGAAGTCAAAGACGTCTCAATCCATTGTTTCGTAGCTTTACTTCGCTGATGATTAGCTGTAAATTGTGAATTTGATTTTTCAATTCAATGTCTGTACAGACTATCAATGCAATAGTAATAGTAATACGAAGTAAGAATGGTGATAAGATATCAGATCAATGTAAAGGTCTAGGTATGTATGCTAAATAACATTTAAGGTTTGTAAAATAGCTGTATGTTGTATATAGTGAACAGTCGATGTGCTAACTGTACTGCACATTATACTGTAGTACGATCATGGTGGTTGTGTAATACTGTACTGTATATTGTATAATGGACACTTGTCCTGTACTGTACAATCCACTGAATCGCTCGATACTGTCCAGCACTCTGTACAGCTGTTACTGTACTGTACTATGCACTGTACACTGTACAGTATACAGTACACTGTAACATACAGCACATGCGTAGTTGTACTTTCGTTGCAAGTAGTGTCAGTCGCCTCTCCACGCTGAAGCAATCAATGCACCCATGGACAAATTCTGCCATCGGTGTGCAAAGCTGAGCTAAAAGATAGAGCAATCCCAAGATCATATTCTTTGACTATCTAGACAGAAACATTTTTCGATTTATATGTTAGATTACTGTGTGTAGCTGCTTCCCATTATCTCTTCGGTTAGTAGTAAGATAAAATGGCTGACGAATGTGAGGAGACCAATGACTATCGAGTACATGCACCGGATTTTGGCGAAGCTAAAAAGTTATGCAATGGACAATATACTTGCCTTAATGTTCAGCAACGGGTAGAAGAGATTTTACTCCCGTATCGCTTTTTAAGTAATGTTTACGATGGTATTACAGCTACATTGAAAGAGAAGAATTTAGTTTACTGCCATCAATTAGCAGGTGTAGTATTAGCATTTGGTAATGTCCATTTGTTGCAAGATCAAGCTAAAGTCGTGGATGAATTACCTGTGTTGGTGGTCAAAGTTCAAGTTGAGTATGTCGTTTTCAAGCCTACCGTAGGCAGTACATTGATTGGAGTTGTAACTAGGATTGGTGCCGATTATTTTGGTTTGTTGGTACATCAATGTATTAATGCCTCTATTCATCTTAAAAAGAAAAAGTTGATCGGCTTGCAACTGCAAGTAGGTAAAAATGTAGCATTTTTAGTCAAAACTGTTTATACTGAAGATGGACTCTTATCCATTGGTGGCAAGCTCCATCAAAGGTGATGTCAATAGTTCATAAATCATAGCTGTTGATTATAACTTAGTTTGATTAAGACCAATAAAAGAGATTTTCTCTTGTGGTCTATACACTTTGATCAAAAATTAGCACTTCAGTCTACATCAAAATGGGTGATGTTGTAGTTCTCGCTTGCTACAGTGTCAACAATTGAAGGATTGTAATGTACTCTAATTTCAGGCCTATTTCTCTTGAAATGCAATAGTTGTAGCAATTTCTCATACAGTAGTATCTCTACTTTGTAGGATATAACCGTTTCAATTCCTGCTTCTATGATATATAACAATACTAATGGGCTTATCCTTTCTATCTTAGTCATAAGACGGGAAGTATTCCTAATGAAGGAAATGTTCGAGATACTAAGGGAAAGACGACTGATTCCCCTTCGGAAATCATCATTTCTAATGGCGGTAATGACGATAACAGAAACAACGGCAGTTTAAAGAGAAAGAAGGATAAGAAAAAAGATCAAGCTGGAAAGAAAGCTAAAAAGAAAATGAAGCTTGATAAGTCTAAGTAATAAAGAATAATAACACCACACTAACCAATAGCACCGATTATAACATTTTATATCGGTTCTATTTACGTTCAATATGAAATATGCGCTGTACAATTTATGCGAAAGTGGCTATCGAACATACTTTGGGATACAACTTATTACACTGTTATATATGTATATGAATAATTGCAAATTAATCAGATATAAAACTATCGGACGTTAGAAAGAATCTAGAATCACAGTACAAGATCAGTCGATGATGTAAATATGGATTTTATTAAATTATCCTGTCATACACGTGTAATATAATAAACATATTCCTGTTAAGCTTTGTTGTGTGTCAGTGAGCTATTACCACATTTTCTAGATCATTAAAGGATTGCCAGTGATATACAGTTACAGTAGTACAAAATAGTTGCGAATCTAAATGAAATATAATTTATTTTATAGTTATAATTCCGGTTGAACTCGAGTTATATATAATACTGGTACTAATGAGGCAGTTAATACGAATGATGTTATTTACGTTTTCATAAAATTTAAAATATTAACTTGATATCATTCACGCTTTCATTGAAAAATATTCAATATACAGTAGTTTTGTCCAGTTCTATAGTACAGTTCTGCACATTTTAATAGTAATATAATAAGCTAAGGAAAGTCATCCAGAATTATATAACCATACTTAACCAGGCAGACATGAATACAAAGGATCTAATGACAGACTTAACAGTCATGATTTACGGCCAAAAAGGCAAGGAGATACGCATATCTTCAGATTATCTTCTAGATTAGATAATTTGTATTTTCCATATCATTAATTTTTGCCAGTTAGTTTCAGCTTTTTAACTTGCACACCTTTGACAACTTTTCTTGTTGGTTTTTTTGCATCCTGTAAAGACTTTTCTTCACCTGTTTCTGTTGTAGTAGTCTTTTTCGATGATTTTTTCGCATCCGGTGTCGACATTTCTTCACTAGCTATAGCAGCATCTAATGCCTTTGCCGTGAAGTTTTTAGATCGGGAACCCATACATAAATTTTCCTTAGAAAACATGATCTTGTAGGAGCCCAAGTCACCGTCAAAGCGATTTTTTAATACCTAGACACAACGTCATTCCATTGTATTAAATCTAATCTATTATATATTACCTTTCATTGAGAGGGAAGATATACACAACTATAGTTTTTACACATTCTGAAAATATCGTGCTGTTTAACCTGTATTGATTTTCCTTTGTATCGAATATTTTGTAAGATCATGACGTTATCAGCTTCCTGACTGGCTTTCGCTGATCCACCGATGGACGCCATTTGCAAATCTGTGTCGTCATTTTCCTAGTAGTTATTGAGTACATATTCTTACTATTCGCAATTCAACTAAATGTAATTCCAGATATTCTAGATGAATACATATGAAACATATAATAACTAGCTAATGGTACCTTACGCGGATGAACTACTAGAGTTACATGCACATTTTTTTCCGAGGCAAATCTTCGGAACAAACTTAAGGCTAAATTTTGTTGTCTGAATGCGAAGTCATCTCTATGGAATAACATTATCTTATAGTTAGTTCATTTCACAATATCAAATTCCAGTATAATAATAAAATTATACTCGTTGATCTAAGAATTTTAATCACAACATACCTGGTATCAACATTCAGTAAAAACTGTAAGTTATCTACTATAATATGTTCAATGTCGAAGATATAAGCGGCGTGCTCCATAGTCTATGTGATAAAATCGTAAAGTCATTTCGAATGCATGATAGTGATAATATTCTGTCATCATCCACTTACTTGAATGACGCGCTTAATATCCTGGGAGCCGTAGAAATGCATGAAATACAGCGGTAATTTTTCAAACTGTGTAGCGTACTTTTCGAACTTACCTAATTTGTTTTTTTCCTCGAAATTTATACTGCGTATTTATATTTTAAAAGAGAGATAAAATAACTTGTTAAAATCTTAACTCTCTAACGGTATTCGGCGTTTACAGTCATGTTGTTACCCTGAAAACTGCCGCATCATGGTCTTCATAATCCGTACATTACGAATTTCGAAACTTCCAAATAATGTATTGACCTATAAGCAAGTCATAAATACAGTATATTTAATAACATGGACACAAGTAATTGATTTATTTGTAATGACTATTAATTATTACAATACCCCTTGATTGCACAGGTCTATTGAAATCTCGCTGATAAAAGTAGTTTTACCAGAACCAGTAGGCCCAGTAAAAATTGTCATTTCCCCTCTTCTATGGCCTTTCAGGATTTTCGTTAGTTCAGGATGGCGCTGCCACTGTTATGAGAGAATATAATGTACTTTTATTACTTGCTACTGTATCAATTAGATATCGATGCATTACTTATTTCCAAGGACAACACCTATGTGAGATATACAGTGTAGTAGCTACTGTGCTAAAAGTTAAATGCAATCGTAATCTAGATAATGATGCAAGATATAACTACACAACTTACTGGTACACCGATAATTTGTTCCCTATTAGCGAATTCATTATATACATCTTGTCTTAACTATAATTCAAGAAATGCCTCATTAAATACAGAGATTATAATATTTCATTCGCTTGGGTAATAAAAATGCTGTATAATGTACAATTTCGATACAATATCGATACTAACATCAGTAAAGGTCACAATTCGATTATGTGCTACGACATGAGCGGAATTTAAAACTTTCTTCAAGTCCACTCCCTAGTATGTAAGAATGAAGGTATATTAATATTCTAAGAAATCAGTTGAATTGTGAAGATGCAAAAATACCTCTTACCCGATTTAAAGCTTCCAATGCTGTCGGAAATTCACCTTTTAAGGTAGATCTGTTATATAACACAAACTACAGGTAAGACATGAGTCTAACTTGTACTTTATTTAGAGCGATGAATTAGCTGACGTACGGTAAAAAATAGCAACGTTCTCTTTGCAATTTATTGGCAAATTGCAATTCCATACGTTTATCTTTGACCGAATTGCCAAGCCAAATAGTAATACGCTTAAATTGTTCGAATAGTGGAACAAGATCAACAGGTAGAAGAACGTTTCCGTTAGGTAAGGATACCGCCGGTACTCCAGTGCCTTGATTAATGGCCATGGCATCAAATTCATTTGCAGTTAATACCACCTAAGAATTAGTTTCATTATCGTCAGTATTTAGGAAACGCGACTCAACAAAGCTACTCAAAGCTACTATACACTGATGATGTAACTAAATATTACTTCGTCATTCTCTTTTTGTATATTATCATAGCCAAAGAGTCCAACAGTAGAAGTTCTAGAGATTTAATGTTTTAGAGTGAGACTAATACAGTTTACTTTAGAAAGCTGGTACAAATTATGTAAAATGTTATTATCGGGTTAATAGCTACTTTGCAAGAGTCTCCAAAGACGAAACGTCTGTCCTTTCAGGTAGTAACACTTTAATTCCACATACTGTATTAGAAAAGTCAAACCAGGGACAAAGGAAGTAATATTGTTCTTCATCCGCTGATGATAGCTTCAAGATTTCCATGTAACAAATTAGAGCGATAAAGACTGCATGATCATCACGCTTACAGCACCTCATACGGATCATTATAGCTTATTAGTGATGGCAAATACCTTCAATTTTTTGACTCGAAGCTGAAATTTCTTGCAGTAATCTTCTTGTAGGCTCTAATAGTGTAATAAAATAACATTCATTCGATACCTTCAATGCGTACATTATAACTATATTGCCCAAGTCGACCTGAATGCCGTATTTCTTGACTATTTGCTCCTTAATATCCTTTTCACACTCCTCAAACGGAGTACAGGTCTCCCATTCTGATGTCATATCCTCTGTTTTACTGACTTTTACTTCACTTTCATTAACCTTTTTTTTTCCGCTATACCAATCTACAATTATAATTATGAATGATAGAACAATTTATTTGTCACCAATTGATCGCCAAATAATTAATGCGTGAATCATGGATACATCTAAGCGTGCAATAGTCTAAAATATTCATTTAGATGAACCTCTAGTATCTTGCCATTCGCCTCTTTTTTCGCATCTCTTGCATATTAACGAACCAGTTACTTTGTTAATATATACGCATTTTTCGTTGCTGCCAGCATGCTCACATACTTTAGGACAAGTTGTAATGATGGTAGCGTGGCCTTTATCATATGGTACCTTATATTTAGTAAGGATATCCACTACACTATCTTTATTAGGAATATTTTTGGTTGAAAAGGAGATCTGATGTTGGTAACGTTTCTGTTGTGCATTTGCATGACCTCTTGAGGCAAATTCATCCGTTGTATTTCCAGCTCTCACTTTATGATTTGCTTGTATACGAATCCATAGGTCTACCATTGCAGATAAAACAGGATTGATTGTTGAATATTTAAAATACTAAATGTAAGGAAACTTAATCGAAAATTTGACTATGAGACGAAGATGTGCATGCATATAGGCGTGCATTTTTACTATCGATAGTACTGAATGTAGATTGAACAAGTTCGTACGAAGTAGAGGGCAGCTAGGACTGGAAAAGCAGCACAGCATGGCAGATACAGTACTGTATGCACGAGTGCAGTACAGTATTTTAATATGATAGACCAGAAAGAGCATAGTAGAGTATTTATAATGAGTGCAATCATGTTGCATTGATGACTGATTTACGTGATACTTTACGTAAAGATGAAAGGATGCAGCTCATAAATAGCAGTGGATTATATCACTAATTTAGTGTTGATTACCGATGGGTCGATTTTCACACTTACTTCGTTGAAGAGGAGCCATAAGGTAGCTGTTGCCAACCCAACGTAGCTGGAATCTCCGTAACACGAGCAATGCTGCTCCAGCTTTTGCTCTCATTTGACTTACTTTTAGGCGTATTTAGGCGATGCAGCAATTACTTACTCCGCTCAATCGATGGCACAACAATATTTCTGAGATAAATTGAAGTAGTTATTTTTTACAGAAGGCTACAACAAATGCAATTCTAATCATAGAGCAGTAAAAGTACTATGTTTATTTCCAGCATGACAGGATTGATCTTGCCTTGATACTCGTAGTACTAGTAGCGTAATGTGGGTCCGGTACGTTAAGACCGGTAGCAAATCCTGTACAGTACATTGTATGCAGTATACAGTACTGTAGACTGTAGCAGGACTGGACTGTACACTGTACTGCACTTCTTCCTTTCCGCGAGACTGCGGCTAGGATTTATTTAGGCTAAAACAGCGACATCTGTAAACCGAAAAGTCCATGGACTAAACTTGACAACTTTAGAAAGAGTTCCAGTCATACATATAGCATAATAAACTATCATAACGTCCGTAGATTATATCACGTACGTGTAATAGACTGTACATTGACGATACAGATGTGCCACTTGTCATTACAGTACTACCTGTTACCGTATAAGTACGCTCAGTCTACGATATTATTCAGCCCTGAGCTCTCCTCTCCTCACTCACAGTCTTCTTGCCTCCTCTCTTTCTATTAAAATACAAATAAAATGAGAGTAGATATCCCTCATCCTGCACATTTGTAATATTACATTACTGTACAGTAGAGTACACTATTCGCACTGTACAATATACTGCACTATGCCGTAAGTACACAGTATTATACTGTAGTGTATGTTCACGAGTGCAATGTACAGTAAGAGCGCGTGCTACATTGTGTACAGAACTCTAATATGAACCATTTTCAAAGAGTAGGTTTGGCTGAAAATGGTAAACATTTTGGGGTTTACTTTGGTTTGATTTCAAATTTATAGTGTTGGCTCAGCTGGCTTTCGGTATTGAATTCGTAAAGGTTTCAGACCTAAACCAGACCGAGATTAGGTGTATATAATTACTGATAAAATACGTAAGAAAGAATAGTATGTACTGTATTCTTGACGACAAGCACAGTCCAGCCAAGCAGACTCATTAATTACAATTGCCATAACAACAATTATTGTACGTATCTACGATCATGCTGTTATTGACAGTACCGTTACATGATTTGAGGCTACAGTTGGTGAAAAAGGAAAACGCTAATCTATCGACTTTCATTTATTTCCAGTAATACAGTACTATTGCTGGAAAGCAGGAAACCTTGATACTAGTCGATCTTGCACATCCGGTTGTGCTTTGCAAGGGATCAACATTAATATATGACTCCCCTACATGACATGTACAGTACAGTAGATTCGTATTTCATGGACGCACATACTGTACAGTATGTACTGTATACTGTATATATGACATACTGTATACAGTACAGTACATGCAATCAACGAGTTATTTATTGATATCGATACAGCCGATTTTATACGTATGATAGACGGGAGTCGTACATTGGTGTTGATCCTTTGCAAGTAGTAATAACTTGTGTTTTATATTCCCTGTAGTATGGATTATTAAAAAATGCTGACTTGATGAACGCTTATTATCAAAGGAAATCTGCTCCCGCTGTACGAGGATGCAGCATACAGGATAATCATTCTATACTCTCGCAGTCAACTACTGTCCTACAAGTAGTTGTTGTTGGTCTGTAACTGCGCCATAAGCACTTTTCTTTTTACAACAGCTATGCAGCATGATCGATTGTCGCCAATTTGTAGGCCATCCTCCCTTATTGTATAGCTGCGGTGTAATACTGCAATAGCAACGCTGGTAGAGATCGTTATGCACTGATCTCTGTCATCGTATTATTCTAGACCAAAAGCTGTCAGTCACATTAGATATCATTGTCATCAGAAACAAAGAAATCTGTTAGATTAAAACAACCAAACAATGCCTTATCATGCATAATTAATCAAAAAAGTATTCAATCTTTTTACTAATGGCGATATCTATAGTACTCGATCACGACTATCGCAATTGAATAGTCTGCTATCAAGTCTACAAAAATACAGGATGAGACTGTAAATCGTTGATTCCATCGATAGGGTATACTGTACTGTACTGCAGTTATCAAAAACGCCAAATAGCGTGCGACTCAATTTGGATTGTAGAGTAGTTATAATTATTAGTAACAGTTTATTACTGTAATTGGATTGAATATTCACTCCTAATTAGTTTATTTATTATGAAATAACCTCGACGCATGGACAGCGACCAATGTAGGAATGAAATTTTTCCTTCAGACTATATTCTACTATCAACTAAAGTTCTAAATAGGTGGTAACGGTGAATGAAATCAAGCTTGTAGACTCGATGAATACCAAGACAGACGACGTTACTCCTTTTCGTCAACTGATTGCTTTCATAGTTTTCTAATACTAAAGTCGAACAATATTGCCAAGTATTGTGGTAGCTATCAGAATAGTAGTAATAGATCAACAAATTTCACTATTGACGCTATTAGCACAATTAAAAGCGGTTTTAAGCTGTTTATTTTCCTACTAAGCGTATCGAAAAATTGGGAGATAATCCTTTGTGCTATCAACTACACTATAACTATTGTAGTAGGTCGAGACGACAGTAACGAATGGACTAGGAAGCCCACTATCCTACAACATTAAAAATTATAAATTTCATCCATCGTCTTGCAAGAAACGTAGTATCTCCTACAAGTTGTTAGTATTACTTGGTTGCTTTTCAAATTTTTGACTTTAAACACTAAATCTTGACTTCAGACGGAGATCGAAAAAGGAGAAGAAAACAACCTACGTACTGTACTTACCAACCATCCAAATTATAACGCTTTACTTCTATAGTATACTTTTCTTTGTTGAATTGGCTACATGTAGGTGTAAGTGTATGTATAGTCTATGAGCATACGGTATAACAAATAGGACAGCAGTGATTGGAATTAGCACACGCGAATTTTACAAGAATACTAACAACTACGTAGAATTGATTCTAAATCATTGAAGGAAATTAATATTATTATTATTATTACAGTCTTTACTACTTGAATACACACTACATTAGCGTAAGGAACGAATTAAACTTGGCGTATTTTCTCTCCATTGAATACAACATGTATTGGTATATATTTTTTGCCGCAGTAACCATATTATTTTGTTTAATTGGGCTGGCATTGGAAAGCATCGCCAAGTATTACGCCTTCGGTAGGGCTTTGCGTGATTTCCCTGGACCGCCTGCTAGTTGGGTGAATGGCAATCTCAACTGTTTACATGGTACAGACGAACAGACCATTGATGACTTACATCAACTAGCTAAAGAATTTCCGAAATGTTATCGATTCTGGTTAGGTCCGTTTCGACCAACGATGCAATGCATACATCCTGATATTATTAAAGCAGTCCTAAGTGCATCACAAGACAAAGACGGCATTTTTGTCAGCTACTTGAAGCCTTGGCTTGGCAATGGATTACTGACAGAAAATGGACAAAAATGGCAGCAAAAGCGGCGCCTTATTGGCGGAGCCTTCAATTTAACCTTTTTATCCAAGAGTGCACCTGTTATACACGATTGCGTTAAGATTATGACAGATCATTGGAATGTGTATAGTCGCATGAAACGTACATTTGATATGTATGGCGATATCAAAATGCTATCTTTCGATATTATCATGCGTTGCGCTTTCTCCGGTCGCTATGCATGTCAGGTAGTGGAAGGTAAACATCCATTCGTTAAAGCCTTCGAAAAAATGAGCTCTCTTGTTCACGAACGCATACTAAATCCATCTATCACCAATGAATGGCTATATTGGATGACACGAAATGGTCGAGAATTTTATTCCGTATGTGATCTTGTTCACAAATATACTGAAGATGCAATCCATGAACGCCAAAAAGAAATGAGAAGGAATGATAAATCGCAAGACCGTAGTTATAAGAACGATTTTTTAGATATCTTATTGTCTGTCAAAGATAGCGATGGTCAAAAACTATTAGTAAATGATATCAGGGATGAAATTAATTCTTTTATTTTTTCCGGTTATGATACGCTATCCAATGGAATTACCTGGTCGTTGTACTGTCTTGGGAAACATCGAAGCCATCAAAGGAAAGTTCGCGATGAGGTCAATGCTTACTTACAACATCTGAATAAGCTAGAATGGGAAGACATCACATCCTTGAAGTATACTATCATGTGCGTTAAGGAGGCGCTTCGTCTTTATCCACCTGTGCCATTTTTAAGTGGTCGTTGCCTCGATAAAGATATCAAAATTGAAGATGTAAAATTGCCAACTGGTTGTCCTGTTGAAGTTCCAGTAATATCCGTTCATCATCAAGCGGAATGGTGGCCGGACCCAATGACTTACGATCCGCTACGTTTTACACCGGAGAAAATAAGAGATAGGCACCCATTTGCTTACCTGCCTTTCTCAGCTGGCTCCAGGAAATGCCTTGGACAGATATTTGCAATGGGTGTTGTTACATTGGTGGTAGCCAAGATTATTCAACGCTACGATATTCGTCTAGTTGCAAATCGTGCTGTTAAGCAAAGAGTTGGCCTAGTATTACAGCCAAAAAACGGAGTATGGATTGAAATAGTGGAAAGGAATGGCACGGGTATCCGTCAAAGCGGGAGTAGCCGAAGATTAAGTAAAGTAACCTCAGTTTAATTAAATTACAGGATGATAATATAATTACATAAGAATGATTTATACATTGTCAAAAATTATCGGTTATTATTCAACAAAAATCATATCTTACGGTCATATTTGTGGTATCTACTCACTGATGAGAGCGTACAGTTAAAGGTTATTATAAGGTGGCAAATTTATTTTTTGCTCTACGTTTTAATTTATATTTTATTCATCACTAAATACTGTAATTATGCAGTAATTACTCTGAATTTTGCTCTAGCTTAGTCTACATATACTATAGACAATAGTCTTTAGACATAGATACATAATAAACAATTATTCTGGACTTATATCCTTTACTGTAGTACAGTATGAAGAATGAATCGCAATCTATCTTCTATTAATTAATAGAAACTGACGTAAAATATAGCCCTAGTATCACATTCGTAAAATCTGCCAATCAGCATTTTTAATAGATTGACAATTTTAGCCTAGATACGATCAGGATTCCAGTAGCCCTTAATACAACAGACTATTGTAGTATTATATGTATTATAGGAATTTCTTATAACCGGGAGTAACGTAAAACCGTAATATCTGCTTTCTAGTAACGTTTAATGTCCTTGAATTAAAATTAATGTTCTACATACCGCCATGCTTGCAAATATAGCAGGCACTCAGATTACTGTCGGTATGAAGATGAATGCATTCGAATATTGTAATATGTTTAGGCCGCTGGTTGTCTTAAGCTATTACATATTGGCGTGTTTCGAATAATGAATTAAGGATATATTCTTTTACTTGATTAATTAATAGAATATGAAGATTTTTTTTATATTAAATTATTGTGGGATAAATAGAAATGTGTGCAGCAATAAAAAGCAATATATTTTCGATCGTACAAACGTATATCGCATATTTATCTGTCTGATATTTTAATAATAGCTATGGATATACTTAAGTAAGTTCTGTTCATTGGTAGCAATTAAAAAATTTCCAGGTTAGGTATGAATACTCTATCATCTTAATCGAATTTACAAACCCATTTTTTTAAGGACACATGTCCGTGAATTACGCCCTGAATGAACAATTGAACATGGTTACCTCATCTCTCATCAAGTTTATCCTAACTGTTAGCGTATAGTCCTGTGACCAACATTATCGAGTCTTTGCTAGGATAGTTGTCTTGTAACCTTCGTAATCCCTAATTTATGACTATAAATACTGATAGCATGTGATATAGCTCGTCTATACCACAATGCACTTTTAACCTTCACTAAACTATAGATATACGTAAGTATAACTTCGCATTCTCAGGTAAGTCTCGATTAATTTCAGGCGTGTATACCAGGTATACACGTGGGTTACTGAATCACTATACTACTGTACATTTGTATCTTCAATATATTGAGCCCGCATCCGTATACTTACGAATTATGATAGCATCAACTAATGAAGTGAAATGAAGGAAATATAGACGAACATTCATAAGACGCTAGTGTGCTCAGGAACTGAAAAACTTCGCAAAATTATACAATGCTTTTTATTCACATGCCTTTGTTGCTAGAATAAAGTACAGTAGTAGTATAAGTTACGACATAACTCACTGGCAATTTGCTTATGAAATAGATCAGATTAGTTGCAAGCTGCATGTTATCATAAACTAGGGTACATCGCAGCAGAGTAAGAATAAGAGTTTAAAATTCTACAATGGCCTGCTACTACAAGCGAGAGTTAGTTCGAGCAACGAATGCCTGATTCAATTTCCCAAATCTTATCACAAAATGTTACGGTATTATATAAACGAATCCTAACTTGTTAGAAAAGTATCCATGACATTTACACTTGTCAATTGTTGCAATAAATGTCAAGAAAGACAACTGATGAATATACCTTCAAGATACAGCCAATGTGAACGATTTTTATTATCTTATATTTTACAAATTTAAGCAACTAACACACAACTGCCACCCACATCTTTGATTTTCTTTTCAGCAGTTCGACTAAAAAATTTGGCCTTAACAACGACAGCTTGCTTCGGTAATAATCCTTTACCTAAAACCTTATAGTAACCCTAGAACAAGAAATTATACAACAGTTATCAAACATAGTAAAAACTATCGAAAGAAAAGCAACTCATGCAAAAGGTATCCATAGTAATTGCGGTAATACTCACAGCACGAACAACATCAATGACTGGGGCCTTTTCAGTTTTCTCAGCATAGTGCGTTCTTGTCTGTTCGCTAACGAGAGTCCACAGTTTATCCACATTGATGGTTGGGCAATGGTACTTATTTCTCGTCAAGTGAAAGTATCGCATACCGCATTTACCGAAATAACCTGGATGGCTGAAATACAAAAACGATTCCGATCTGAGTACTTCAAATTCGCTTATCCAAAAGAGAGTGGAATGATGTGGAACGTTTCAGTTCAACATTTATTACAGTACTCGCAACAGTAATACGTAGAGCAACTTATCGCTACAGTCCTTTAACAATAATCACAACTAATCGTACTATATAAGTTACATTTGTGCATCATCTGCTATGTGGGAGTCAAAGGAGTGATGCTACATATAATAAAGCGCTTTATACTTACTATTTGTCAAAGTTTGCCCTACGGTGCAACAAACCACCAGCATTACCTCTACCACCAGGATGCTTTCTGTGCTTGCCTAAGATTACAGAGAATTTAAAATTAACGACTTCTACGAAAGATAGGATCATTCAATATTGAGCGTACATTGCTCAGTTGCAATACAGCAAAGATAATCCGTTGCTACGGTTTACGATCTACTGGTCAATGACAGTAATAGATGTCAAGCTGATTTATTTCCTATAAACATCGCTAAATGGCATTTATAGTAAAGTAGCTGATATAATATACGATGAAAATCTCACTTGAATAGCTCAATAATCCAAATATACAGTATGATACGAAGACAGAAAAAAGTCTTCCATGGAACTATGATAAATATATATTTTCTATCGCTCAATTCGATTGACATGTAACAAGCAAGTTCATTCACCGAAACATAGCAAATTCGTTTCTACTGTTCGAATTTGCACAATATATTACAGGGACGACGTTAAAATCAAAAGATTAGGAACTATAGTACATACCAACACGGCCATGTCCAGCACTAACGTGCCCTCGCAACTTTCGAGTTTTCTTTTGACGAGCAACCTAAAAACAGTAAAGACTGACCATTACCATCCGTCTGAATGAACACTAAATTAATCCATTTTAGATGCTTCTATCTTTGTTAAAACAAAAAAAAACTGACTATCTTTCAAGTAGAGCTATTTTTTCAAGTAAAGAATGTAAAATTACGGAAGACATTTAAGTGATTATGACTGATTCTGGAGAGATTCAAAACTAGATGAAAATTCTCAGACTCACCATTTTCTATGCAACGTGAAAGAGGAGGAAGAAGAAGGAATGTGCGCATGTATATTAGTCGTCGCCTAACCGCTTTACAGTACTGAGCAGAACCGCTACAGTACATTGCACTCGGATTCTTTTGCTACAGCAGTACTGTACAGTGTACATTGTACTGTACAAGCCAAGTACTGTAACTGTACTGCTGTACAGTACTGTACACTGTACAGTACTACAGGATTAACAGGGCTGACAGGAGACTCTTCAGACAGACAGACTTTTATACCATAAGCCATGCACTACAGGATTAACAGGTAGTGTCTTCTTAAGCTGACAGAAGACTCTTCAGACAGACAGACTTTTCTACCCTAGGAGGCCAAAATATTGAAAAATTAGTTACTTAGTATGGATCTTCTGTATCTATTTTTTCTTGATTACTTGTACTAATTTAAGAATATTCATCTCTTTATATAGCTATTTTACTATTTTGAAGCAGAACTTAGTAAATAGAATAGATTTCCAATATAATATTACTTAATTTTAGACAAGCAAGCCAATTACAAAATCGAGCAATCGCTTTACGTAACAGACCAGACACCCAGCGTATGTGCACTGCGCAGTACTGTACATTCGTGTAACAGTACAGTATGATACAGTACTCAGTAAGTCAGCATGTGATTTCGTTACTGAACACCAGCTTCAACACCTCCCAGACTGGCTCCGGTACAATGCGTACAGCAAAGTACTGCGCAAGTGCACATGGACAGCATATACTGTAGGCAGAGTCACGGAATAAAGGTAAGAGGAAGATGATGTCTAAAATTCGCAAATTTTAGAGGCTATAGAGTAGATACGCGCATAGCAAATGATTAATTTCTATCTGCGTATCAGTTGGCAAGTTCGCCAATTTCATTGGTTCTAGAAGATCATAGATTTCTATTTACGTATCAGCTTTGTTGCGACTGTACTCTAATTTGCAATGTGATACATTTCGTACTGACTTCAAGCTGATATTTCCTTAAATAACTGTCAATGTTTTGGATGATCTTACAGTTGGGTATTCTGCTCCTATATATGACATATTGATAGATATATGCATACGTACAGTAATTATAATCAAAAACATGGACAGCTGAGGAAATTCCCGTAATGCTTATGTACGCCCTGTAAATAATTTCTAGTGGTGTATCAGTTCGAATTACATTGGTTCATATTTCAGAAATAATTGACTCATTCAATTTTTAATAAACATTTTAACTGCCTGACGTCGCAATCGTGAACCCAGTAACGTTTGTGCTTACTATGACGGATAGTAAGGGAAGACTTATGCAAGGCGAGCAAACTGACGAATTCCTTTCTGGAATTGATACCTTTTTCTTTGACTGTGATGGTAAGGCGATGGCGTATCATAAGACTTTAAATTTCTTGCGATTATATTTATGAAAATATTATGTAAGCAATTGGCACTGCCAATTCTTGACACTCGACCGCTATCATGCCAGCACTTATAAAGTACAGCTTGGTAACATACTCGTCTTTGTATCATGGCTAATGCTATTTCCAGCTAAATCTCCTTTTTAATCATCTTCAGGAGTTATTTGGCTTGGTAATGAGGCTATAGCAGGAGCAGTTGAAACAGTCAACAAATTAAGAGCTAAGGTAGAAAGAATGTACATCATTGCCATTGTTGTCCGATGCTTTATTATTTTTTAGCAGTCTTTTCCGGAAGGATTACTGTATTACTTTATGCACGTGTAATGTATAGATTGTACGCGTATATGCGAGTATACAGTACTATAAATAACTTCACTATTTAGAGAATAATAATATTGCATATTCTATAATTGTATTCACCATTTTGTATACTTACACTGTAATTATATTAACTGATCAATGATTCTGAGCATAAATTACTTTGTAAACAACAGGGAAAAAGAATATTTTTTGTATCCAATAATAGCTCCAAATCAGTTGCTAGTTACATGAAGAAATTTCAACGATTTGGAATTGAAGCATATCCTGTACGTTCTGCTCTAAACTTCGGAATGAATTAAGTAAAACATATCCTTGCACACTATTGCCTTAACCATGTGTGTTACATTCTGAATACGTAATTACTACAAAGCATACCTCTCCATACAAAGTATTCACTTAAAATGGTCGAATTGTAAATTGAGCACTGACATCCTTGCATCTTATCTATATACGAGTTACAATCTAAATTATCACACATTCGCAATACAGTGTACAAATTTTACAGCGATGTTGACTTTTTAGGATGAAATTTATGGAACGGCCAAGGTCACAGCATGGTATATAAAGAATAAATTAAACTTTACCGGAAAGGTATACCTTCTAGGCTCGGAATCGATGGCGGAAGAATTTGACGCTTTAGATATCTCTCATACTGGCACTGGGGTTAGCCTTTATACGAAATTTTACTAGCATAACATAAACGTGTATCAAAAGTACTTTCGTACCTCAAGTTTCCTGTCTACCGCGTCATGAAATTTGTTAACAATCGATATGAATATTTTATAATTGTTGAAGTAGCCTGATCCCTTTCATGGTAACCTTGATACCTGTATAGGAAGCGTTTCGTTGGATGACGACGTAATTTCTACTTTACCGCTATCTAAACTTTGTTCAAAATATTCTTAGCCAATTGTAACCACATTGTGGATTTAAATACTTAAACTTGTTTCTATAAGATTGGAGCTGTTGTTCAAGGACTAGATATACATGTTAACTACATGAAAATGATTAAAGCCACCAGTTACTTGGCAAAAGAATCTTGTCTTTTAATAGTCACCAATGAAGATGATCGATTACCAGTTAGAGGGTCTAACATAGTTATTCCTGGTGAGTACTCTCAAGATATATAGATTACAATTATAACATTCGTAAAAATACCTAGGATAACAAATTTGTCGATTGTAGTACTTCATTTTATTCACGCTTTATGGTAGGTACCGGCAGTATCGGTGCTATCTTGAGAGTAGCTTCCAGGCGCCAAGATCGTATTCTAATTGGAAAGCCGAACCGAAATATTTATGATTGTATCTTGTCTAAGTAAGATCGTTTCCCTAATAAAAATATACAAATATTATTAGTGCTACATGCATATACGATACCAATTCATTAAGCGATTTGCAAATGTTGTGAGATCCTCCATTTGTAGGCTATATCAAATCTAATCAATCGTTATACCGCAAACGTTATAATATTATCTATTACCTCTCAATTGCAGGCATTCTATTAATCCAGAATCGTCTTGTATGATTGGCGACAGGTATAAAATAGTAATCGTACTATTTTACAGAATTGACTCATGAACGGGAATAGCGATTAATACGTGAATAAAATGATTTAAATTTACATTTTGTAACTTGATTCGTTTTATGCACTGCAGGATCGATACTGATATAGCCTTTGGAATAAAGTGTGGTTTCAAAACTATTCTAGTATATTCCGGTGTTTCTACGGCAGATGAAGTTGAAGCATTAAGAAAAAAATCGCCGGAAATGCTACCTGATTATTGTTTGCCTACTCTTGCTGATCTAATGAGGATTCCTTAACTATTAAGAGAACTGATAAAACTTGAGAATCATTCATGGTATTAATCAAAGAGTATGACTGAAGGCTGGTTATACAGTATATCTCGTACATGGTGACTTCAGGTTTTCTGCGTCATTCGTAAATAAGAAGTTACTTATAATATTTGTCTTATAATGTTATACTTTACCGGATTGCTTTGATAATACCATTTTTTATATCTATACGTACAGATTAACATTACCATAATGGCATGACGTTATACTCATATCAAAGTCGAAAATAAAACTATGCGTAAACAAAACTTTATTTTTCAATCATTTCATAATTTCTCGATGCGCGTACTGGTTTACAATGTTATATAAGTTCATGCAATAATTACGATAGCTACAGTAAGTATAACTTTCACTAAGGCTTTTAGGTTCAAGCGACAAGCGGATTTTGTTAATTTCTCTAGTATGGATTATCACGATAGAAAGCTATTCATATGAACCAATCGATATTTAATTTGCCTTTATTGCAGTTCAAAACAGCGCTAAATTATTTAAATTTAGTTGACTCAAATATTTCAATCGCAAGATCAACCTTGGGCTAATGCAATGGTAGAACAGATCTTTTAATTATTTAAAGGTGGTTTTAGTCGAGATCGTTATGTATGACATTTTGACTTTTCTCTACTAACGTGTAAGAAGAAATAATTATGATCTTCGCAACTGTGTCACAAAACCTACATATTGAATGACAATATAGCAGTTGTGTTTGTACATTACGAAAAATATGTGTATGCACCGTAAAGAGTCCCATTTGATGTAAATGACAACTTGATTGCTAAGGCTGAAAACGTATTCAATGACAGAGTTACTGCATTTAGTATACACAGTATATTTGCAGTATTATAACTATATAGTAAGAGAAAAATATCGAAAAGCTCGTAACTACGCTACAATAAACTTTTAGATATGACTTTAGTTCATATACAATACAGTATACGAATGCTATTAAGCCTTTTGCAGATAAAAACTAAAAATTTATCAATATTTCCTACACTTTTAAGAAGAAATAAAATGACAAACTTTTCTTGGAATAACATGTTTCTCACATTAAATTCTTACATCGAAGATAAGATAAAATAGGCGTTCTAATCGCCGTATTAATAATTACCATTTTTAAAAATACTATGAACCACTGAGCAGTTATGACCAACAAGTTGATGATAGTCAGCATAGCTATTTAAAGAACAATAGGTGAGAATTGCACCTACTACCACGAAGACGTGAAAAAGTTGATGACTCTGAAACTAAATATAAAGTTGCAAATATTAAGTCAAATTGCTTGCAAACGAACATTTAAAATCCAAAAAGCGAGACCAACTGTTATGCTTACTACGATATCGCATCGTCCAGGAAAAAAGCGCTCAGGTGTGCGAGTGGCGTATAAAGTTACTCCAACCAAATAGCTCAAGCCACTAGCTAGAAACCATGGTATACCTCCTATTTCTATAGCTCTATAAAATCCAGTGATACCACAGTAATGAAGCAATGGAACGACTCCAGAACCTCCTACGCCGCCAAACAATGCTGTAAAATGTTCCAGATCATAATAATATTATCTCATATTCATAGAACACTTACAATTACAGTAATATTTTTCATACAAGAAATAACATACCTGCCCTAAAAGTACGATATTTTGATTCAGAAAATTTATCGAACAGTGATACGATGGCAGCTGCAGTACCTAAAACGATCGCCACAGTCTCATAAATGATAAGGGGGATGGTATAGCAGTAAAATGCGTAATAGATAAGTGACACGTTTGATCCGACAACCAAAGTTGCAATTCCCAAATAATCTAATCTGTTGAGACGCACAAGAGTTAAAAAGAGTTTCGAAATAGAATTGAAGGCTTACTAAAGCGTTCTATCAGCAATAAGGCAATACGACGTACTATATAGTGCAATACTATAAACAAGACACAATGAATAATAGCTCGAGCAGACACTTACTTAGCAGATGATTTCATAACTCTAAAAGAATAGCAATAAATGGTGTGAAAGAAAGACGAAAACAGGAGGCAGGTAATCGCTCCAGCAAAAAATGCTCTAGAATTGATAAAATACACGTTTAAATAAATAGTGTGCTCTTCGCAAACAAGTTAAATGTTTATTGTTTATTATTCGATACAAAGATAATTGATTGCAATAAATTTGAGAAAGTTTGATATTTAAGAATCATTTAAGTAATTAGTGAACATATTCGTGATATATTATGAAAGTCGATATACGTATTGTACAAACTGTGACTAGTTTTAAAACTGATCATTATATTGACAATAGGCAGATACAATAGGTTACCCGAAGACTGCTTGTTCTTGCCATGTTTTCTGGCTGAGTGGCACTGAAAAACAGTATATAGCAAATATCAGTAGCCCAATAAAACCTAAAAGATGAGTCCAGATGTTTCCAGTTTCGGTATGGATACGAAAGATGCTACGCAAACAAAGTGAGACAGAAGGGAGCTGAGGTCGATATCCTTTGACTAGAAATTCATTATCCTGAAGCCAATCAGGTAATTTATTAAATGGGAGAGTTTTCCAATCGTTCGGTGGTTGAACAACTACCCTAAATTTTAACAATTCAATTAGAAACCCAAATGAGTGTTTAGTTGTTCGAGACCAATGTAAATATACGTGATAATGCAGAGCAAGAAAACGAACTGCTGACTACTGTATTGTAGTGTACTGTACAGTAACGATCCATGACTTTGAATGGACTCCGAAAAAGTAAAATAATAACAGGGGTTTAACCGCAAATGTAACACAGCAGTATCCCGTAGGCACGATTGATTGAAACTGATATCGACGTTAGTTCTCTTCAAGACTAACTATCCATCTGTCTTATGAGACCGATTGCGTTGATTTTACGAGTGTAAGAAATGGAGAACCAAAGGACTAAACATTTTTAAGAACTACCGAAAAATCACATTACACTAGTGTTAGTCGCTCTAGATATAAAGTAAGATGTGCAACTCACAGTGCAAGTACATACTATACTGTACGCGAAGTATAAAATGCGCGTGAGTTGTAAGTATGATTTATGATTGACGATAAATCTCCAAAAATATTTTTACACCATAGCATAAAAACTACTTGTACTGTAGTATATCATTATACGCGTATTATGACAGGCTAATATTAACAGCAGTACTGGTTCATGGCAGTCTTGTTACGGGGCTTCCGTTGTTCATGATCACTGCATTTGGGATGAATGACTTTCGATCGTTTTTTTGCTTTCATCCTTTCATGCTCGAATACACACGGTTATTTAACTCGAAATCAGGATTGGGGTTACAAATAGGAAGGATTAGGAAATCAGTCGAGCTCCATCATGCTCCATCATTAAAAGTCTGATCTGAGCTGATCATACTGAGTTCTGTAAGTTAGCACTGTATAGTACAGTGTACAGTACTGTGCACTGTACCGTACTGTCAACACTGCTCATGTACTGTACACTGTACACTGTACAGTACCGTTCAAAACCAGTCTCCAGTATAGAAAGTACTATACGGTAGACTCAGTCTGATACAGTACACTGTCGTAACTAACCGGTGAATTCGTTGACTCCCTGATTTGACCTTTGGCTTTGGGTGCACATTAATCACGCCCTTCTACAGTACCAATACAGTACAGTACAGTACATTGCAACTGGAAGCCAGGGACTACTGTACACTGTACACTGTACACTGTACTGACTGAATAAAAGAGACAGTCATGCCTATTACACAATACCGCGCTGCGCCTGCGTGGCTTGGCAGCCGCAGCACGGAGCAACAGTTTGTACGCATGAGACAGTGCACAGTTGGAAAGATCAGCAAGTTTCCTAATTTTTAGTCTGTAGAGAGAAAGATAGTCTCTTTCGTTAGTAACACTAACTGTACTCTATTCTGATTCCAAGATCTACTTAAGCACGTTCATAGTTCAAATTAAATGAATTAAATTAAATTAAATTAATTAATTACTGAATGAATGAATTTGCAACCTGAAAGGATTACAGTTGGGAGTACTGTACGTACAGTACAATATACTGTACTGTATATTGATATATTAACTATGTACTGTACTACTGTACAGTATACTGTACTACTGTATTAGTCCGATATGGCAATTGAACCTTCAATAAATACTCTAAATACAGCGGAATAAATTAAAGTAGTACCATTTCAGCATACAGTATAACAACGACACTTGAAAGTGGAAGAAAGAAAATAAGCTACGGTCTATTTCCCACACAAGTGATTTGCAAGATACTGCATTGCATTGATGCAAAAAAATCCATATCCCTTCAGCTCTGCAATCCCCGCAAACAGCCAATTTACGATAATATACAGTACCTAACTCTGCTATACCGTAAAATATTGTATTCGAATTGATACTAAGCGACACCATATCATGCAGTACTTGCATATAGCCCTAGTTGGTTTAGCTGACTACTTTACAAATATAAAATATATTCAACATTACGTTGGAAATTATTGTAATGCATATCAAGCTAATTAATTCGTTCGTCCATTTTTAGAAAATCAGTCATTGCAGCCAAGTTCAAATGTTGACTAACTACAGTACGTATACTCATAATCATCATGTGATTATTGGCCAGAAAGAATCTAAATAAAACCTTATCAACTTCAGTAGCACTGCATGGATATCAAATTCGATACAATAACTTGCTGCACAGGGTAAGAGTAAATGCAGTCAAAATTTTTACTTGCTTAAATAGTGCAGTGAAGTGATCGTGTTGCACTAGATATTAATCGCTTCACAACAAGTATAGTTCTATTGTGAGAAGTTTTACTATACGAGTGTACGCATAGGTATCTAAAGTTCGCTAACCGAGTACAGTATATCTGTCTATATTACGTTATATTTATTTAGTGTCTAAAAACTGTATGACTATTGAATTGTGTCAATTCTATATACTTATAATTGAAAGGAATATAGTAATGGACATTTGTGGTTCACTTGGTAACTTATAAATGTTTAAGGAAAATGGATAAGGAAGCCCATTTCCTTAACAGCTGAGTTATTACCAAATCTATAATATATAGCTTTTAGGTCATTACTTTTGGGTTAGGCCTATAATATACGCGTATATGTACGGACTGCGCTCACCATAGACTAACGAGCTACTATGCCATCGTAAGGTTTATAAGATTTCAATATATCACAGTGGTACAGGTAGCTCGACACCATTTACGAGTATAATCGCAATTACTTGAACTAATTAGAATACGGAAAATGTACCTATAAACGTTGACCTTTTTTCCGTTATAATAGGTTGAGTATCTAACTTCAGGTATTTTTGAAGATTCATCATTATTTCCCTATAAATGAGAAGATGCTTTAATTTAGTTTACCGTCACACAAAAATTAACATCTCAAAGTGGCTTATGAATTGTTTAGCTGCTTTCGCATACATAATTATATTTATATAATTATAAAAATTTACACAACTACTTGCATAGCTAGCTGCACTATTAGCATGAAAAACAAATTTACAGCCATATTATTACTGCTTAAAATTTTATACTGCAATGCTTGCTCAGGAATTTGGGTTCCGTAGTGATACTGCTTTACTAGACGACCTGCAATCGAAGTCACTGTATGTTTATCCATTTATTTATTTAACTCTAATTAATTCATGGGGATGATATCAAAATATGCTACCGAATAGGCAGGATTAAAAACTAATAATAACATAACTTTCTTGCATTTAACAAGAATAATTGGTTAAGACATTGAATGACTACAGTAGATTAGGCATCGCATTATATGCATACTAGTCGATCCCTCACTGGTGATACTGTACTTGTACTTTTTAGCTTTTTAGTTTACATTGTTATTTGTAACTGTCACTGTAGTAATACCATAGGCCAAGTATTTATGTTTTAGTTTGACTCAGTATGGGATCTATATGGCCGTAGAACTACTGTACTGTATGTAATAGTCGGCTATACTGATCCGGAGCTACCTAATGAGGATTAAATTTGGAGATATTCAATGGATGTAATTCTAATTCAGTATAATTTAACAAGCAGCAAACGACCTCAATTTAAATCGTCGAAGAGCATCAAACTATTCACTAATGGACACGCCGATAAAAGACAGCAGCTATGCAGTGTCGATATAAATAAATAAAAATATTCGCAATTTACTTAAGTGGTGTTTACTATTAATAGCTTTAAAATGAAGGCTTCGTACTGTACAGTACTGTACTTTACATCCCATTGCAAACATGTTGCAGCAAATGTATCGTTGGTTATTGCGGCATCGAAGCGATCAAATAAATGCAATGAAAGAGCATGCTAGACGAACAACTATCGCGATACTGTAATATCAAAGTGATCGTGTTGGCTCTACGTTTGTCTATCAATTCTAGTTGGACATAAAACATTGCAAAATCTAATTGCAATTACCAAGTGCAATAGCCGATATAGCTCCTATAAAAATTCAGCACGCCTAATTAAGTAGTTCAACGAGAGCAGATCGGTAGAATCTATTCGCTTTGCAAGTCGCCAGTGATACATAATTAGAATGGGTATAATAGTTAGCCAATGACTACCATTATACAATCATTATCAACTGAATTACTATACATAGCATAAATAAGGTAATTAGTATCAGCATAAAGGGGGAGGGAGGAGGAAAAAAAAAAATCTTCAATGACTCATACGAAAAGCGTTACGATAATTTATCAGCTACCTTTTCTAGACTGGCTTCCACTGCTGCCTTTGCATTCGTTTCTGTGATGTTTTCGTTTCCATTCTGCTTCAAGTCGAACATAGTCGTTGCTTCAGATAATTTACTGTGCTGTACTGTAAATGTTAATGCACAATCGTCTTTCAATTGTCGTGGGGAATTATTGCAGAGTAAAGTCAATTGAATAACCAGCGCGCTTGAAAACTGCTAAAATCCGATATACCAATGCGAAGTTGACTATGAATTCATCAATTTATAGCCTAAATTGAATTTGGATACGCGTATCTTGTCATGCAAGTGATGACTCTGATTGAAGTTAATTAAAGCAACTAGAATGAAACTACAGTTTGTAGGACATGGAACGTACAATGATGAAATTATGTCCAATTTTTATCATTGATCGCAAAAAGAAGTTCTTTGTCTCGACTCACTGAGTACTCGTCGTCAAGCCAGGTAGAGATCGATGCTGATTGAATGCAATGTTTGCAAATTAATTTGCAAATAAAGTCGTTCGCCTACACCAAGTGATTACTATCTACACCAATATGCAAAATGTTGAAATCTTTTCCTTCCAACGCTGCCTTAGGTGTCAAGGTGAAAATAAACATCTACGGCCCCCCCAAATTTTACCAAATTGGCAATAACTGCAGTATGACTATGTGCGAACAATGTTCACCCATTAACAGGTCATTCACAGTCGGTACGATCGCCACTAGGCTATCAATCATGCTGGATCCTACTGTACAGTGTATAGTACTGTAGCGCACTGTACTGTACGGTGAAGAGTTCACTCTGCCTCAGGGAATTCAAGTCGTTTGCAGTATGACTGTGTGCGAACAATGTTCATCCATTAACAGGTCATTCACAGTCGGTACGATCGCCACTAGGCTATCAATCATACTGTACAGTACTGGATCCTACTGTACAGTGTATAGTACTGTAGTGTACTGTACTGTACAGTACTGTACTGTACGGTGAAGAGTTCACCCTGCCTCAGGGAATTCAAGCCGTTTGTGGTGCTGGTTCGAAACGTTTCTTTCTATGGTCGATGACGACACTGACTAGAAAGGTCACCATGCTGGAGCGTGATGGCATGGCGCTACAAGCACTCGAGAAATACTTGTCACCACCATCCCAGAGTACAGTACAGTGTACAGTACTGTACTGTATGTACAGACTCCGGTATACAGTACTGTAGCTTACAGTACTGTAGACGGTAGATTGTACTGTATTTGCTTCATCATTTGACAATGCAGCAAATGCCCCTTGTGAAACCCTCTGTATTGAGGTGACCTGGATGGCTGGATGACCTCCTTGCCTGTATGACCTCCTTGTCTTTATGACCTCTAGAAAGGGTTCAAGTGTCTCGAAGGCAAACTGATAGTTTGAAGTAAGGCTACTGGCCTTTAAGCTCGTATGATTTCCAATTGAAAAAAAGGAGAAAAAACTACGATGTGCACTTTAAAATGTACTAGAATAGACGGTTCTGAGACTTTGGGCATTTTGACTAGGCATGTATTTCGCATTGATATTGAAATGTGGCCGATAGTGATAATCTGCTACAGGATATCAGTTGACCTGATACTGAGATCACCCTAGTTCTTATCTTCGAAGCCAGTTGGAAAGATGGATCGCCACTGATGTCCTCATAAAATATTGAGTAAAAGCATAGAGGGAATGCTAAGAAAAAAATAATGGTAAACGTAATAGAATAATAAGCCGCTACACGGTACTACTGCGCTTGTACGAGTGTTCTGCGTAAGTAGTCATTAGCTCAGGAATCAAACAACGAGATTGCCCAGCACGCCATGTCGTGCAAATTATTCCATTACTTTCTATCTTCCAACATATCAAATGCTCCCAAAGCGGGTATAAAAGAAAACTAAGATATAAGATGGTCAGAGTGACAAATTGCTACAGCATATTGTTCAATAACGATCATTCTGAGTTATTAACTACTTTAAAATACCAGTCAACACTGGAAATTGTATCGAAATTGGAAACCTTTGTACTGTATTTACTTCCATTGGGTCATACAGGAATACAATATTCATGTTTTGACAGTCAATACTATGCAATTTAAATGAATAATTTTATCGTCCAATAGAGAAAAAATTGGAGATTAAAGTGGAACCTGAACGTCTATATTAGCTTAAATTTGACCTGACCTAACTAGGTTTCGAAGTACTACCTAATAATATCTCTTCAATACAGTACTGCGCAGAACATAATGATTGATACCGCCACTTTATGCGGGTAGGATGACCAGGACTTAATAATTTGGGCATTTGATGTAGGGATACACAAAGTACATCGGTAAAACGATCACATTATATCACTGTAGCCTATGGATCCATTTATACCACCTGTAGATCAGTAAATATGTTTATTACCATCTCTTGTGTATGTAATATTTTATTTGATATAAATATATTATTGACGTTGAGCACACTGAAAATTAAATAGATAATTTCATCGGGATACAAAATACTGTTACAATATCCAGTGTGCCAAGTGATCATTATTACTAGAACAACTTCTTCCTAATAAGGAAATGAAATCATGTAGACACGCCTAGTGGAATAAATAAATCCGTTTGAATTGGACTGATGATAATAACTGAAAACGTCCAGCAATTATCTTCATATCACATACAATAATTGTTGAGAAAGATATTAAAATACAACTACATCCTTAAAAATTCACGGTTTTCTGGGTCTTCCATGTCAAAGTGCGCAGCCTCGCGAATTCTCTGTTCGTATCTCTAAATTGATCAATAATAAAGTGAAATAGATCCTTGAGAAATCTCTTGATGTGGTTTTCTTATACATTAAAACGATCATTAACTTATGATTTATGACATGACAATGTGCAATAAATTAATTTATCCTGCAAGTCGCTGATGATATTCGTATATTCATAATTTTAATTAATCAGCTCAGTCAACTCCATAATTTTTACATCGCTATAGTCGTATATACGAGAATGTTAACACATCAATGCTCGGATATACGCGTATACTATACTTTATTACCATAAATTCTTCGGGATCCATATGTTCATTATCCTCTCGCTCTGGGTCCCATCCTTCATCGTGTTCGAATTCTTTCGATTCACTAGCTTTAATAAACTCATCCAACGAGATTAAAGCATCTTTATTGGTATCGATCTAGTTAACGTAACGGAAATATTGAAGTTACTGTCATGTTGAACGATACTATGCCTTCGCAGGCCGTACTGAAGTTCACCGAACTTATAAATTTTACTGAAATCTCATCTTAACAGCCATTTCTAAATCGGAATATTGCTTTATTATCAATATTCTTTATTTCCGATTTACAATTATAAACTCTACATAAACTTTTAGTTATTATTTCTATCGCAAATAATACCCTTAAAATCTCTCTCTATGTATTTTATGTATATTAATTATAATATCTCTATATATATCTATGTGTGCAATTGAAATGTAATGCTGCCCAATGCTGCACCTTAGCCTAACATGGCATTATGTAGATTAATGTGCTTACATGGAACGTAAGCAAGATACACATTTAAGCTATAAATGCGAATTGGATAGTAATTACATGCTTAACTAAACAATAAAGTTGTGCGTATAGATAACAATTTCACATCGTAATATTATTTGACTAGCGAGTCACAATAATAAACCATGCCACTTTTCTCTTTGTGAATAAAAAGTGAACCTATCTATATTAAGCACCAAACTATAAAACTGGTGCTATAAATCTAGCTATCATAAAATTCCTGATTACGTAGAAATTTATTGTTTTAGACCATGTAAACAATTACAGTCTTTAATTCATGACGATAATAATTAAGGTACCTCTCGGACAAAGTGATTGCGCATTCCGGTTGTAATTTTTCTCATTTTCACTTCATCATTGCTACCATCATTCTTGGTAAGCTTATGGCTCTACATAAATAATACAATTTACAGTATTTAAATTTACACAGCAAATATAATATACACCAAATGGTATAACTTGCGATAGATGCATAGAAAATGCACAGCATTTGTTGAAAGACTAATGGTCCTTCACTGAACTACCTGAACTTAAGGAAGTACAATACTATTCCGATGCTTCATTCCTTTTTAGCACATTAAAATAATTAATCTGAACGTAACATGTGGCACGTGTATAATCATTTAGTGCTTTTTAAATATCAATTATTACATATTACTAGTAGATGCCTCGCTCGTTATATTTCACGTATAATACATGTGCTTGGTACTGTACCCACTGTACAATAATTTATCACTGACTCACAATTTTCCTGATTGAGTATATTATATATACACTTAACTCAATCTGATTAATTTATAAATTAATCCATTCTATTGTATAAATTAAATTCTTATCCGTTGTATACGTCTTTAAAAAACTAATTATTAACAGTCGTTATAGTCTCCGAAAAGTAAATTTATGACTGAAAAATAAGCTTAAAGTCATTTTTTGATATGTTTATAGACCGCATAACGACTGTAACGTAATTTAAATATATTGTTGTAATAGACTCTGATATGAAGAACTGCGATTTATATATTCATATACCAATATATATGTGGTTATAAAGTATGTGTTTATATGAATTCCATATAGCAATTATACGAGTCATTATCGAAAATATTTATAAAAAAGTCCTTCAACTTATACAATTAATTGTAATTATACTATCACATTATGAATAGTGTGCACGTATAACAGGAAATAGCTAGATTTATAACTAGATTATAGATAGAGTAATATTTTTTAAAAGTTTTAAAAATAAGTTGCTTAAGATTCATTCGCAACAATAATACGGTTAATAATAATACTATGAATGACTAATATATAATACCTCTCGTTGCATGATTGCGTCTAACTCCGCAAAATCTAATTGTCCATCACCATTTAAATCTATACGGGAAAGATAGACATAGTGAGACTTCACACCATAAAATATCATACCGCTTGATGAATGACTCAGTGTAAAATTGGGCGTAACGATAGCGAATATATTTAGAAAAATATATCATAAGTTCTAAATTTTCAACAGGGTAATTGCTTAATTTTTATTTACGAGAAATATAGTACATACTCCCGTAAGCAATTACAACGGTCTCTTACCATGAGCAGCGAAAAATGATCTAGGTGAAAAATCTCCTTGACTAAAGCCATCGTCTTTTTCCCAAACATCTTGTAGTTGAGCTTTACTTCCCTGTTGTAATAAAAATTATAACTTTAAATGCTATCACTATAAGTAAAAATGCAATAATACAGTGAGAAATAGGACATCTTATCGCCATGACAATATTTCAAATTTTAACAAAAGAATGGCCAGTTAGATAGGTAAAGAAAAGTGGAAACTTTCTATATTAATATAGAAAATATACGCGATAGGAATAATCACCGGATGATGAAGTTTCGCCTTTTCCTCAGAATTGCTGTGTCCACTTTTGTCATCTTCAGCAGCTTTCGATTGCTCTTTAACCATTTCTTCTATATTTTTTTTTTCAAGTAACAATTTCTCGTATTCATACCGCATGAACTCCTGATGTTTGGCATCTTCAACTAATCGTATTCCTTCAGCGATCTTGAAATTAGATAAATGATAATTTAATAAAAGTGTAGTAATATTTATTAATGCCTACCAACTTCATCGTAAGTTTATCATATTAAAACCAATCAATCATATTTTGGTGAAATATTGTGATATAAATTAATCTAAACTAAAGAGTATTTAAGTTTACACACAAAAATAATATCAAAAATATCCCTCATAAACTCTAAAATTATATTATATTTACTAAGATGTAGCAAAAAGTTTTAACGAGACAAGTCATAAATATGTACAAAACTAGCTTAATGTTGCCAATTCATTTTATTTAATACGGTACTAAAATTTAATCTTATTCACGCCCTATTATGCACTAATTAAGTACCTGTTACCTTATTTTTAAAGATTAAATAATAAGAGAGTTGATTTAAAGAAAGTTGATTTGAAGAAAGCTGAAAATGTTAAAAGCTTACTAAACTGAATAAATATATGGATCTTAATAAGCTGTCAATTGAACTACTATGATACGATTTATTACTGCCAAATTGGGAAAAGCTATTATATAGACTTTTATCCTTTTATGAGTCCTTCTCTTTGCTTCTTATAATATAGTATTACACACTTATTTATCGGTAGAAAATTATGAACTACGATGTCATAAGTACTAAAATAGTTGCCATAACTTTGAGACAGCAAGAAATTTATAGTTTATTTCTTCATCATTTGAATTTAAATGATTAAAACAATTTCCTCACTTTTTAAATTTACCCACTAACCTCTCCCAATCTTTCTTTGATTCTCTCAATTACTTCATGTGGATCCTCACCATCCGTATTCTGGAATGGTACATTTGGATTCTCTTGTTGCTTCTCAGCTTTTCGTAGTTGATTTTGTAATTTTCTTTGTTCACGTATCTTTTCTTGTTCAAGATCATCGAATCTATCTATCATTTTTCTACTAAGCTCTTGTAAATTGGGATTAATTTTACCATCTTTACCAAGATCTTCATTCTTGTTCGATTTAATCTTTTCCCTTAGCTCTTTATCTTCTTTTAACAATTTGGCCGTCTCTTGAACTGCAAGTTGTTCTACCTTTTGAGTCCTATTAGCTGGTGGTCGTGACTCAATTAGTAGAGGCAGTACAAGAAATATAGCATTAATTAAAAGAAATGTTGCAATTTTCATCTTAGTTAGAAATTTAACTTTCCAATACTGCCAAAGAGTTTTACGGTACTATTCTATGATATTACTAAACTTTCCGTACTATTTGTTATAGTAATACTCGTATATGCAACTGTTTGTTACTAGATCTTTGTACCTTGCTTTTTAATTAATGCTAGCATCATGATTAAAGAACATATAATAAAATGTATTATTATGTATTCTTTGCTGCTAGACACTGTGTGGCTACACTGTTAAATCCTCTAGCCGAACTGAATTCATTATTTTTAAGACAAAGCAATACGTCAGTTCTAAGAACAAAATCACTGCAATAACATCATTCCACCTCCGGTTCATTGTTTTATCATGGTGATCGCTTTCATGAATAGTTTCTATTTGTAGGCGTATAAGCAATTGTTATATTTTATTCTTCTTGTTGATCCAATTGCAAACGTGTATAATGATTGATCGATAACTAGTAGAACGACGGCATCAAATTGCCCTTGACAACTATTTTAATAACATAATTCTAATTATTATCATTATCGTAAACCTATGTCTTAAATTCTTATTATTTCTTAGCTCACGATCTATCCGGATTTATGTATAATAAGGCAACCTGTTGGTAATGTAATCGGCTTTATTAGATCTTACATGAATTGCTTATTACATCGAACTTTGTAATAACTAAGTTCTATCAAAAGCCTCAATAATTAATTAAACATGCATACATTGTAGTACTTATTAATTTTATTGGCAGTCTAGAACTGAAGTTCAAGTACTAAAAATACGTCATCCCTATTACTAACTTTATTCTTAGCTGTAATGCAGTTGACATACATTAAAGTGTCTTATATCACGTATCTATGCATAATTTTGCGACAAATTTTTTGCTCGTAGTTTATTTTTTACACATGTACGAGTGCTGTATATCGCATACTCAATCTTGAGGATCGGTTATATTTAGCTCACACTATTATGTGATAGTTAAGCTGATAATAATAAGGTTGCCGTTAATTAAATGAGAGAGCAAGAAAAATGGCTTTAAGGGCTGACTCTATAAATGTAAATAAGTCAAATGCGCTTATTGTATTTTCAGCTTAAACTTAGAATTAGAAATCAACTTATACGCGTATGAGCTACCAAATGTGATAAGCGTCGATGGGAAAGTCAATTTAGCCAATCAACATATCCGTACATACTTACTTTCATTGCTATACAATTCAGCATTCCAAAAGTTAAAAGACTTTCGAGTAATTCATTTTGAAATTTGAACTAAGACGGAAATTGTAATGGATACCATAAAAAATTGCTTTTATCCATGGATAAGTGGATATACCGTGTAAAATCAGTAATACCGAAATAACAATTTTAGGCTATTGAAATCAAAGAGGAGCTGCATTTTGGTGACCATTTCAGCAATATACCCGCATTTCTTGTGATTGTACTAAACGCTGTCAAACTTTTATAACTCCAATTTAAAGCAACATACAGTACCAGTGCATATACATTATAATTGAGAGAATTCTTAAAGCTACCGACAGATAGTGGTCTGAATTGTGAATTTATATTACCCAAAGTGCAATTGTAATGGCTTTCGCATCAGTACAATCTGGCCTTTATTTCGAATACGCGAACGAGTATCCTACAGTAACACTAATCACTTAGCTCACGATTATTACTTAATTTCTAAGGATGGCCAAAGAGAATACAGTTAAAAGGATGTAGTAAAATGATACAATGTTCAAATTATGAACGCTTCAAAATTACAGATATATAATTATAAACCAACGTCAGGTGTAATCCTTAGTACACAGTGAGATAAAAATTAGATGCGCTTCTCGTAAATAATACCTTTTACATTGCACGGGCATGGCATAATAACACACCGTAGCTTATTACAGTATTTGCAAAAAGCAGAACGCAATTTAGCAAAATATCATAATGTTATTTTAGGATATTTTGTATGTGAGGGACAATATTCTGTCATAGCTTGGTAGTATGTAAAAAATTTTTAGCGTGCAATGATGAAACTTAGTAAATGTTGATTTAAAATTATCGGCGAGGATCCGTTTCTTCACCGGTACGGATTTTTATTTTGTCGAATTGGTTACGGGCAGCATCTCTAACTTTTCTTTCATATCGCTAAAATTTAGGTTATCAAAAATGTTTTACTTAAAAAAATTTCGCAACTGAGACTTGCCCCTCAAAAATTCCTATAAAGTAATTAATAGCATATTTTAATATTTACCTCTAACTCCTCCGGGGTCATTCTTTCAAAATCCTTGTCTTCGTTAAATGTTTCCCAACCTTCATCTTTTTTAAATTCCGCTTTCTTAGTAGATTTGATAAATTCGTCCAACGAGACTAAGCCGTCTTTGTTTACATCGATCTATATCCAAAGCAAATACACTTATTATATTATCTTTCACACATACTATTATAGGGAATGCTGTAAATTCTTCTTGAAAACATAACATGTAAATTGCTAAAATGCCTATGCACGAAGACTACTAAAGATAGTTTACTTAGATACCTCAGTAGATACATGTTGCCTCATACGTTGTAATTCTTCTTTTAATTCTCTTTCATCATATGCATCTTTATGATTACCAACTAATTTGGAAACCTAATTTAACAAATCATCAGGTTTCAGAAGATTTGAAACAATTATAAATTGAGCATCAGAACTCAGATTAGTACCAAGACGATGCCTAACCTCTTTTCGGAGAACGGCTTCTAATTCGACGTTATCTAAATGTCCGTCACCGTTCGTATCTAAAATGTCGAAAAGTGTTGATTAGAGAGGGCTGAGATTTTCTACTAGTTATATAGCCGTATCCACGCAATACACTTATTTCCTAACTAGATATATTTATATCAAGGCATCTTTGAAAGGATGAAATGGACATGGGTTATTTGTAATTAATTTATCCACTATTTTGTGCAAGGTGTAAACAATACTTGGTGCGCATATATAGCTATTTACCATGAAGTCTAAAAAATGCATCAGGGTTGAATTCTTGATTTTGGAAGCCATCTTCTTTTTCCCACACTTCCTGTAGTTGTTCTTTGCTACCCTGTATGTAAAGTAGGTGGTTTAAAATATTAATATCAGATAATGAGTTAGAGCAAATAGGCATTAAGTATATCGTTTAAGTTAGAACAGCGTCTATTAATGCTCTTAGTAGTCGCGAGGACTAACAACATTACTGACTACATTGTCTAAAATTTATTCTTTAATTGGTAGGATGATATCATACCGGATGATGCAATTTAGGATGATCTTGCATATCCCGCAAATGCTTTGCATAATTGTCTTCGGCAACTTTCTTTTGGTCCGGATTCATTTTCTCTAGTTCTTTCTTTCTTAATAACTCCTTTTCTAATTCATATCGAAGGAATGCCTTGTGTCTTACATCATCAGTTTCACGTAATTTTTTGTTTGCCTGTATAGCGAAATTATAATTTAGTCTTTCGATTAAGACGATACAGTACCAACATATAGTACAAGGAATGGTGTCCGGTGTGAATAATTAATTGGAGAAGAGTCAACGTAGCTAAAGTGACCACTGAAATTTACAACCGGTTGAAGATATCTGCAATCAACTTACCTCCTGTAGTTTTTCGTTCAGTTCTTCCATAGTGTACCTATTATCATCACTATGATGCAGGCGAAATGATTCTGGATGTTCTTCGCGTTCGTTAGCTTCCTGAATTTGGTGTTCTAAATCACGTTGATGACGGACTTGATCATATTCTTGGTCATCGAATCTATCCAGCATTTTCTCATCGAGATCGCGGAAAGCAGGATTAGCTAAATCTCGACCAATAACATCATCATCTAAACCTTTGAACTTGTTGATTAAATCCGGTTGATCTCTTAGAAATTGGAAGGTATCGTCATAATTTTCTTCTGGCTCTTGATGATCAGTATTCTGTTGATCAGTCTTGTGTTGATCCATGTTTCGTTGATCAGTCTTGTGTTGATCCATGTTTTGTTGATCATGAGCCATCTTTGAATCGAGTTGTACGGATTTATCAACGCCAACATCTATCTTGGTTTTCTCGATATTGGTGACATCTTCTTTAGGCACTTCTTTAACTTTATCGGCTTTCACCGGTAATCGTGGTGGAGCAGCATCGATTAAGATTACAAGTCCAACCGTAATCAATAGGATAACGCTAACTAACTTCTTCATCTCTCCTGTAAAGATATTGTCCCCAACATACAATAAATGTCATTAAATTAGCAGGAATGAATGGTTAAGTTATTGATCACTCGTTACAGTACAGTCTTAATTGTTGATAGCATTCAATCGGATTAAAATGATAAATCCATTTTTTGATGATATCATGGATCAAGGGTAAAAAAAAAATGATCCGATTGAAGACACTATTGAAATCTAGATTCATTGATTTGCTAAACTATCATTTGAAAAATGCTTGGCGACATCATTATGCGTGTTCTCCTTCCTTTTACAGTAGTAGTACACGAAATTTACACGCTCTTTAATCCAATTAATCACTAACTTAACTCCTTCCAGTAAAATGAATCTCTCTTTATTGAAGTTTTATGCTATAATAATCACTTTAAGCAGTTATGGCTCACTTACTGATCAATCCTTGGCAGTCTTTCCTTCACCGAAACTAACAACGATGATGATGATACGACGGGTGGAATATCAAACTCCAAATGACAACGTCGGAGCTTTAAAACCAATTAATATTCCTCTCACCCAGGTACTTGTACTACCCTGCTGTGCATATAGTTCAGTATAGACGTAAGTGTTCTACTCTCGTCATCCAAATGCAATTGGCTCGTTTGATTACACGCACGCGCAGTACCGATGATGATGCAGGCAGATTTTCCACGGTACAGTACGGTACAGTACTGTGCTGAGTTTACAGTGTAATGTACTGTACTCTAGCGATCGAATACTGTACGGTATTGTACTGTACAGTGTACAGTACGTTCTACAACAGTACTGTAGTAGTATTTACAGTACTGTACTGTACAGTAGTTGTCGTCGACTTGTCGATGTTAACGGTACAGTAGATTTGGATGACGTGGCATACTGGACAGTGTACTGTGCACTGTGTGCAGTATGGTATACAGTAGAGGGCCTCTAGTCAGTGGACGTGTCAAAAAGAAAGTGGCGTCTGTACGTCTGTACCAGTGCAGTTTGAGAAAATTCCCCTAGCTATTCAGTTATTATTGAACTAATTAATTTGATAATAATAAATAAATACTGTAAATCGTTTTCACATCCTTAGGATAGGCCAGATACGGTATAAATTAAACAGTTTAATCAATAGTGCTGGGAAAATTTTATTTTACTGTTAAAGCTTGAGCCATTGCTCTATACTAAATTGTCTTGAAGCTTATTTTCTCCCTATTGCACCGTACTGTACTGTAGTTTATTTTGATGACAACTTTAATGTAACATTATGAAAGTGTGAGCCAACGAAAATAATTTAATAAATATTATTTTGCACAGCACTGAACTGTATTATGGTCACAAGCTATAGCATGCCTAACCGGCAGCATCTCCCCTAAATTCCCAGGTCACAACTTTAGCTGCCACTGCATTGGCGTAGAAAACTATATTCATAGACCTCGAAGTTCTACAGCTTCATACTATAACTAGATCCTAGTATCTAACCTTAGATTTTTCTTGCATCTTGTAGATCTACAGTATAGACAGTATCTGACTATATAAGTATAAAGTATCTAATGCACAGGTTACACCATTGATCTTCACTAAATGAAAGTTCTTATGGCTTGAACAACACTTCTTCTCAGTTAAATGACATTTGAAATCAATGCGGGATTGCAGTAGACATTATAGCGAATATCTTGAATATTAATTTGGTATAATTACTTTTACAAATTAAATTTTGATCATTTCACTGCATAGATTGATATAAATAAAGAAAATGAGTTTGTGAGATTGCAACATCATTTCGGGCATTGACCATAAATGTAGTACTTCATGCTCGGGTTGAATATGGCCGTACGTTGATAGTGATATATAGGTTAATATACATACTGAACTGTAAAATGACTAGCAAAATCATCAGCCACTCAATTTCTAGTCGGTATATGCGATATCACTCCATTAAATATAAAAACCTAGTTAACCTCGAGGATTGACAGTGAGATGTATAATACTGTATCGTAAAATGAAATTGCAAAATCATCAGCTACTCCATTTCTAATCGGTAAAGGCGATACTATTCCATTAAATATGAAAACTTTTAATACCGGATAAAGTTATATAAAATTGTATACGCTCATGGCAACTCTAACTCACTCTAACGTGCGTCTAAAAAAAACGCGTATAAGAGTACTCTTCAACTTCAATATGTTTTTGCATATTTTATAAATTTTATATTAGTGAGTTTTTGTTCCGTTGGTGGAACTTTGTTTATATATATGTATATGTACTGTACCAAAAGGATGTGATTACGTACGGGTACACTCTTATGCGTATATAATAAATTAGTTTACTGGTACGATCGCTGATTATGGCGGTCCTTCACAGATACATTACCATAATCAATATCGCATTAATAAAAGTGATTATTTGTAGCGCAATTTGCTATTCCTGTATCGATATATCTGTCATGTTTTAAATATTTTACTTTAATCAGATAAATTAAACTACGAAAGTCATCTTTATTACAAAACTACTCTACATATACGAATTAGTACAAGATGTTGCATAATGTACATCAAAATTGAATATATAAGCTATATTCATCTGATAAAATTCATGACACCGTTTTTAATAGACTCGAATCATGGTAGCAATTTCATTGTAATTCAGATACTAAGCCATTCTTATCTTGAAATAGATTCTCAATTATGAAAATGAAGCCGTGTATAAGAAGCAGTTTGAGTACTTCAACACAAAAATTTCAACCATTATTATTGACTGTAAATTGAGACACAATTTACGAACCTATTTTCCTGACCAAGTAAGCTGTAAAAGTATGGGTGCACAAATAATGGTTCGGTAACATACCTACATGTATTATGTAGCCAAAATATTCACAGCGAATACAATAATTAGCAGAAAAAATCAAACACAGTATCAATTACAAAGAAAATGCTAGCTATATTCGCAACTGCATATGCGAATATAATGGGGTCATATATAAAGAATAATATTATAATGACCGAAATATTTCATCATCTAGCCCTAGTTGTCCAAAATATATTGGCGTCATATCAAGTATTGTCTATCTACGAAAGAACATTCTGCGGTACAACGATAAAATTTAGACAGAAAAGAAAAATTGAACATTGACGAAGGATCATACATAAATTTAGAATGATAAAATAGATTTTTCAATGGAATTTAAAATATATTCAAGATTTACGTTCAATTGTATTCAAGTATTATATTTATATAAACAAAAGCGATAAATTTAAAGTCTTTGCAGACGTATTATGTAAGGTTTTTTAGATCAGATTTAGTTTGTAAACGTTGTCGTATCGACTATCTATGAATGAATATAAATTTCTATCACTTGCAAAATAACACTCTATATATAGCTAAGGAATTAATAACGCTCGGTACTGTATGATATCAGTGTGAAACAGTACTGTACAACTCGTTAGCACGTTAGTAACATGATGTTGCCAAATAGATATCACAATATTTTATAATCTTACAAATATAAAATGTATCTATGTAAATAAATTGAATATCTGTATGTATATACATTAAAAGAAGATAGGTTTTAAATTATTAAGGCGAAATAATTTATAAATTTCCCAATGTGTTTCTGGTTCTTTCAGCATCAATTATGCCTACGTTATTTTTTGTTGCGAGTATAGTCTTTCTTATATCTACAGTGCCCAAATTATTTCGCCTTTGGACAGATCCTCCAACTTTATTTGAGAGACTTTTTGTCAAACAAATTCGACATCCTAACTCAGGAACACATATCTTATGAAAAGCATGACCTATACATAAAGTATTAGAGCAAGCACAATTACAAACAATACCATCAAATAAGGTAAGTGAAATGTTGCATAATTATACCACAGTCAAAGGCAGCTAGTCCTTCTATATGTGTAGAAACATCCTCAGTTAACGGAACCTGGCATATAGGACAGGGACTATATAAAGTCAAAAAGCAACAGCAAATAACAGTTATCAGAAATTCACTTTCTTCTAAGATCGTTATAATTAGATGATAAATGAATAAGAAATAAACTAGTTTTTTTATTCTATTAGCTGTGTTACCTTTGTATATCTACGGTTGTTCCCCACTGACAAGCTTTATTAAAAATAATAGTGATATATTTTAGCAATTAGAATGAAAATTTAAAATTAATGAGAAGTGCGCATACCCATATTTTCAGGTGACCGAAACATTTTTGCCGCTTCCTCGTAGTAAGCCTGCAATATGGATGATCATCTTTATTCTGCAACTTACATTTAACATTGCAATAGTGATCGAAGTATAGTAACATAGTTGCACGATACAAACCATTAAATTCGGATCTTCTAAATCTTGCTTAGAAAGATTGCTAGCTTTCTCTACCTCATTTATAGCGAGTATCTATTTTGTATGAAGTTATTAAATTGAGAAAGTCTTAATCATCATATAAAAATTGGTTAAAATGAGACTACTCCAATAACGATAAATTAGGCAGGATAAAATCGTCATTAAAAACTAGTAAGTCATGCTTACATGGTGCGGTAAAGATTCACTTTGTTGGAGCCAATAAAATGCATCTACATGTTCAAGGATTTCGTAAACTGCAGATCTAGTAGTAACGATTCATACAGTTTTAAATGCAAGATCAAAAAATTGATGAACAATTTCAGAAAATACTTTTATAGCTTACTCCTCTTGTTTTTCAAGTACGGCTATATCCATTATTTTAGCGAAAAATGTAGAAGGCAAGTAATTGCCTTCAAGTTTCAGTTCGGAAAGGATTTGTAATGCAGTACGTGAACCTTGCACATTTAACAACCGTAAAATGGCATCTTCCCAGGTTATACTAACAGACCAAAAAATACCATTATCCAAAGTGATATTCTCTGGCAGCTGCTTATTGCAGCTTAAACAGTGCAATGTGACTGATTTGATTTCTTTCCCATCTTCATTTCGCAAGTGGAGCTTTCGATACAAGATCAACTTTCTTAGGAATAGTGACCAACTTTCTAAGTTATCAACTAAAAAATCTTAACAACAAAGTTTTGAACTATTTTAGTTTTTGCGTATTAGAGATGTACAGAAAATTGCTATAAAACATGAAAGAACTTTAATTGTTTGCGTATCACAGGAAATTATACCGGATGTGAAATGCATTCTAAAATCTATTGTTCTAACCTTCCTTGAATAGTGCCTTATCCATTTTATTATAGATCAAATTGGCATCTCCTAATTGTGTAGCACACGCTACCGCTTCATCTAACATTTCTAAATGTAAGCATAAACGAATATATCCAATCCAGTATCTAATAAAGTAAATAAATGCCAGTTAGACTAAAAGTTTTCTTAGTGAATTCTATATTTTTGAATAATTATTCGAAAGCAGTCATTAGCAGCTATACTTACCCACTAGTTCTGCAGACCTTAAGTAAACTTCGTTTGGTGTGGGATGACTTAATTACATTTAAACATAAATCTAACATTTCATCGATGAACTCTTGTCCTCCCCAGCTGTAAAGATGAGCTCCACTCCTATGAATGAATGGCATGCGATGTATATTATCAAATAATATTAATGAAATTTAAAGATAATCTTAAACACCGACCTTGGATGACTACACAGACATTTCAAAGCAATTTCTGAACTATTTTTTGCATCCACGTATAGCATCGCCTCGAAAAAGAATACCACGCTGTCGTGATCGTTGCAAAAGCGTCGAAGTGCCTTCTTTCTCAACTTTAAGTTTAATGGTATATTCGTCCAGTAGCGAGAAAATGCTTTGTAAACAGTCGATATCTGCTCTTCTTTCTCTTGAAATGAATAAAATTCTACTTCATAGATTCTCATCATAAATAACTGAGCAATTTCCCAAAGATCAATATTTGATCGTACACTAGATAATAGTTCAGATATTATCATCGGATCTTCTTTAATTTTTCTAAAAATAAAAAACACATGCAATATGTAAGAAACTAAAAATAAATGGAGCGATAATTTTACAGATATCCGTATTTTAAAGCAAGCATAGGAGTCCTATGACTGATAATTATAATCAATTTTTCTGCGACGCACCTGTAAATCAAATATAGTAGGTTTAATTCCTCTCCATCTGCGTTCCTTAATTGTTTCGAAAGTTCTTGTCTTACTGTTATACCTACAAATATGATTAATCAATACTGAAAATTTTACCTCACGATGAAGCACTATAAATCTGATGCGATATTTTATCCTTACCTTTACACAAACAATTGATAAGCGCCTGATATGTAATGGTTTTGTGATTAAATCGTAAAGCTAATGAGCCCCGTACGTGCTTCAAGTCCAAGAGATAAAAGTACCGACATAAAAACACTGCAGCTTGAAAATCCTGGATACTATCATTATTCCAGTCACCATTAGGCGATGACACATACTGAAATAGCGATTTCTTGTCGATACCTTGATCACTAACAGGACTACCTAAGGGCTGATGGTAAACACAAGTGTCAAATGCGAGAGTAGTTAGATATCTGATGTCTTCAATTGCTTTCAAATCAAAAATGGTTGGATCCAGTGGCATTCTAGTAGATACTGTGCACTCATTCATATTAGGACGGTAGTCTGTGCACGATTCCCCATAAATTTCGTAGATTTCATCTAATTGTGTAAGCCATTCGCTAATATGGCAATAACTTTCCTCAAAATTGTATAGCAAATTACGATTTTTTAATTTTTTCCTATAAGATTAAGATTATAAAGAGCAATGTCATGATACAATGGCCAATCATTTAAAGCTAAGAACATTAAACAGTACTCTAACGCTAATTACCTTAATTGTATAGTATGACTATGAAATTTTGCAATCTCGGCAGGGTATTTTGAGCTCGGATGGTAGATTTCTGATAAGAGGGATAAAGCATTATCGGTACAGTCTACGTTTTCTTTATCTTCTCTTTTGAGCTGAACGTCTCTGGGGACATCATTAGCAGGGGTAATACTTTGGTTTTCGGGAGAAGAATTGGAAAACTTTACTGTAGGTTCGCTTTTATCATATCCGTTAGTTTCTCTATTACTCTCTTTCAATTCGGCGTTACCATTTAGATTTTCATCGATAATCTCAGGGTTACTATCAGCCTTGTTGCTGTCGGTTTCCTTAATCTTTCTTATAGTAGTACTGCTGTTATCAGCGGCTAGATTAATCTGAGCAAGGTCTTCCTTTAAATTTTCTTCGATGTTACCATTATCATCTACTACTTTATTCCTTGATTTTTTGCCAGGACGTTTTTGTTTTACAGGAGTAAGTTTCTTCGGTGAAGCAATTGTCACGCGAGTAGATCTTCCTTTTCGTTTTACCCTCTCGACTACAATTACATCAGATTGATCATCGGCATTTAAAGACTGAATGTTTGTTCGATTGCTAAATTCTCCAGGAGTGTCCTTTACCAGAACTAATACATTTTCAGTAGTATTACAGGATGGATTATCATTCTTATCACTATGTGTATCTTCAGTTGTTTGTAGAATCGCCGGGGTAGCAGATGGATTGTCAAACACGGTACTGGGTGACTTGTCCAAAATTGCCGAACTGAACGCAGTAGGTGCTGTGTCCTTCACCGCATTAGGAGAACTTTTGACTTCACCATCAACATCTGTTACGGAGTTTTCTGTAACCCCAGTGTCGCTAATAGATTGATCATTATCTGCAGTAGTAATAACTTGCTTTGGGGTAGTAACTGATGCATTATCACTATCATTTAAAGCAGGTGGTATCTCAGCAGCCGTAGCAGAGCTAACAAAGAGTTCCTGATGAGTATAATTCTTGTTACCGATAGCTTTCATTTTATTGCTCACTAGCGCATTTTTAAATTCTCCAGTTACTCGATTTTCAAAATCAAACTCCCCATCGGCTCGTGATGATAAGTCGCTTATAATTGATTTTGAATCTGACATGAAACTTTCTTCTTCCGATGGTAGAGCTGCGCTACTATCCGATTCATCGTTTGATACGGTATCTTCCTGTTTAAAGCCCAAATAACGAGATGGATATAGGCCTTCTTGTTCACTCTCGGAGTAATATGATGTATAACTGCCTAATATTCGCCTTTCGCTCTGTGACTGTGCAAGTTTACATAAATCTTCAAGCTGTTCACATATTAAGGGATCTATATCCTTAACCATATCCTTCAAGTTTTCTAACTTGGAGGCAGGCAAAACAGCTCTAGTGAATTCTAACATTATCCTATCGTTGTACTTGCAAGCAATCTATATATAAAACAATTGAATGCGTTTCAATTCAACTTGTCTATAGATATTTTAGATATTGGTGATATTCAATCTCTGAACTGTTATATCAACAATTTACCCAAGCAGCCTGCTGCCAAAGACAGTTATCAATAAGTTTACTTATGCTATCTTCTGCTGATATCATGGTAAGCTTAACCACGCTTAACTGCTCGCTAGAGTCCGATAATAAGACATAGGTTTCACGGCCGAGAGTAATTACGTCGATAATACCTATTAACAAAATCACTTCTATTCTAAGATTTTAATGCAGATTTAATGAGTAAACAAAATGGATTTACCTTCATAAGCGTTATACCATCCTATAACTTTGACAGATTGTGGATCAAAGACGTATAGCATAGAAGCAGCCCAAGTGATAATGAAACGATTTCTAAAATAATTCCGTTGATCGTTGCAAGATATTGTAGTTAATTTTACAAACGGACGAATATAATAAAATTCCGAAATTAAAATCGATGAGTAAGATCGTTATAATTGCTACTGTATATTCGTCTAAAATTCGCACCTAATCGGTTGTAATTTTGCAAAGTTCAATGACTGTGGATTCCAATTCCCATTAGAAGAATCTTTTGGTATTTGAAAATGTCGACTAGCAAAAATAGGTTAAATGTCAGTGTTGCTTTTATGAAAATTGACTGAAATACTTTTAATTTATGATGATAAAATCTACTAACTTGATGCCTACGATAGGTAATGGTGGTACAGCTAATAAGTTCTTATATTGCTGTGTTGATAAGACCGTTCCTTCAAAATCGACCTAAAATCAACAATAATATCTGTATACTAAGGATAAAAATTACCAATCAGTAATGTGTATGAGCTTTAGGGCAGAATCTACCTTCCATAATCTCGAGCCAGGCCGGGCACAATAAATAAATGGAGTAGCATTTTGCGATCGGTCATTAGTACCATGACAGAAACAGCCTCCGTACATTCCGTTCCTAGATTGAGTAATTGTTCCATATAAAATGTAGACACTAGAAACTTTTATTTTGATATCATGCAGAGTCTAAAACCAATGCATTATTGGAGAACTACTTACCGCGGTTTTTTGCCTACTTGGGCAGCTTGTTCACTGTAAGATAGATTGTATGAATTAATATTTGATAAAGCTAAGAAATTTTATTTCATCAAATCTCCTACAGATTGCTCGAATAATTTAAGTGGCTGCTCTTTTGATTTATTACCTATTTGCAATTGTTACCAAAATATATCGCCTCGTTTAGAGCGATCATAACTCTTTAAACTAGAATTAATGATCTTACCTAAGAAGGTTACAGATATAGCACTGAGTTATTGTGGATACCAATAGTTTATTTGAATGGAAATCTAGCTGGACTATATAATTTTCGTTGCGCATGATAGCCACGGAGGAACTTAATGATAATAATCTTGATGCCTGGAGCATTACATGTCATGTCCAAGCAAAATATTTTATTTAGATTAAGATTACGATGAAATTTATTATTAACTGACGTATACCTCAAAGTATATTTTTATCAGTTATGAAATGATTTATGCGTAATAATATTGACATTATATCGTAACGAAACAAGTTAAATCTGGGCATTAGAAGTAAATATCTAACGCTAAACGTTATGACAGCCTATTTATAGTAACCTACCTTTCCAACAGGAAATTTAGTAATCGACACCTTGCCCTTATCATCCCCAGTAAATACACGTGTACTTTGTTGATCCCAGCATAATGCTGTAATAGTTGCTCCTTGATGTTCTTTTTCTATGCATAATAGCTTTAACGTTGTGAAAAAGGAATTAAAGAGAGATCGACAGATTCAATCCCTTACTGGATGCATTTGTTTAATAGTATTCATTTCTTAGTCATGGCACAGCAGACTAGTCTTCTTTTAATAATGTAATCACTTCAAAAGTTGAACCAGCATACAGTAGAGTTATATCCAGACTGTGGTCTTACCTTTGGTTTTAATTTGGTGTTCAAATTGAGCTGCCAAATGTATATCAGGCCATCTCTGCAAGGAAAGAAATGTTATTTATGATCAATAATTGTTGTACCATCTTACAATTACGTCAGAGTAGATGTGTATAACAAAAAATGTGTAAATACTTGCAATTAGACGATTGCATATTACAATGAATTGCACTGATCTGTAAGTAATTTCATAATACACTGCACAAATTTAACTTTGTGGTCGTAGCTAAAAATAATAGATTTATAGTACTAACCGGGTGCCTACGGCTGCATAGGCTTCATTAACTGATATCTTGACAACAGATGCACATCCTTTCATGTCTTTATGCGTCAGCAGTTGTCGGAATCGTACATTGGCTCTTCCAAAGCAGTAGAGTGCTGCATTGTTGGATCCCATGATGATATAACATCGTGAAACAGCCATACAGACATACTGTAAATCAAATAACATACGATCAGTTAACATTGGTTCAGAGTCTATTATCCTCACTTAAGCTTTACATTCGATAATGGCATCGTAATGAAGTTTCATTGTAATTCATTTAGATTAAATCATGGCACAGCAAAGCTATCGCAATCGACAAAAACAAGTAATCAAGGTGGATTTAATAAATGATTGCTACTGCAAATTGATAATGCCAAATGAATTTATGCTTGTGCTCATAATATCCGATTAGTTAGATATCAATACTATTTTCATCATTATTCGTGTTGATTTTTATGCAAACAAAGTCATTAAGCGATAATGGTATATGGATGTATATATACCATCAAGCTTTAGCTTTATACCGTATGATGCCTGCTACAGATTTAATTATGAAAGAAATGGAAGTACTTCGGACTGATGATACAAAATCTTTGATAGAATGATCACTGCCATTACAATTGATAACCATCGAAAGTAATGAATGAGTTTATGTTTACGTACGTCCACACAGATAGTAATGCTAATTAAGTTGTCCGTTTGTTGAAGCTATTGCATCTATATGAATATTTGGTCAATCATCCATACAGTACAGTGTAATATAAATTGATTATGGGCTGTTTTTTCTTAGGAATGACATCATACTTTTATTACTAGTGGACATTATCCGTGCTTTGGTGCACTCTGTACTTTTATTTCCTTTCATTCTCTAAGAATGTATCATGACTAGATCTGAAAAAGGCTCAGTTCAATTTAATGCTGTTGCTATTGGTCTAATCATGACTTTTATCGGTTATTACATTTTATGACGTCATGATGTAGTCCAAGATGGTTCCAACATGAGTGTAAAACTCAAATTGAAATGTAGCGACGAGTGTGCAGTGTAGCCTGCAGGTTAATGACAGTACAGTTAGTTGACAATAAAATGAATTAATGATCGTAATTTTGTTGACGATAATCACTATCCTAGAGAGGTGGTCTATTTAAGTACAAGTACAAACAGGCTTCGTAAGAGAGATGCCATCATTTCAATGTTCTGAACAGGCATGAAATAGTAAAATACTTACTTTTGTCCGAATTGACGAGCGAATCGGTGTCATCAGTTCATCTAGCATACCTTGTTCGAAAAGTATGTAAGGCGTTGGACGATCAGTAGTTACTGTTGGATTGGCAACAGAACTTTCAGAATCAGAGTAGCCAACCGAAGAAGCCATGATTGTTATCAACGAGAGATTGTTACTATGAAATTAAGCTTCAATCAATGGTTTAATCGTCGATATGACCAAGATATCAATAGTTTGGTCAATGGTGGTAAAATGAATTAGGTCATTGATCTCGCTTAGCCAAGCTGCTGCTAGCATCCATTACATCATTCTACAATACTGCTGAAATTGATGGGCTACTATTACAACAATACACCATCACAATCCTACATCCGTGTCAAGGTGCAATCATCCACTATTGCCAATCTCTCTGAGTAATGCCACTACTTGTTGCAATAAGCTATAAGGAAATGCGTGATCGTTGATCGAAATTAACTTAGCAAGTTGGTTGCCATGCTTTCATCCTTGAAACTTTGATGGAGACTAGCCGGGTGCAAGTGAGCGCACAGTAATACAGTAATACAGTAATACTGAACACAGAGTGGACAGTACAGTACAGTATGATAGTAAGTACTGTACACTGTACAGTGTAGTATACAATCCATTCGACCGAGAACATTTTCTACTGAACAGCTATGAAATTTTGGACGATTTTGGAACATTGTACTCTTCCAACTACAGTACCGGACTGATTGTAAAGTATTGTACTGAGTCATTGCGCGTGATTTTCCTATGATGACCAAATGACTAAACAGTCCTTGGCGAGACGATAGTGACGCTGTCACACCGGTTGTGATTATAGTCGTGCATTGGACAAAATGATCTGCATGAAACACACTGTCTCAACCTTGCTTGCATTCCTCGACTCATCAATAGCAAGGTAAACAAACCAATTGCATGACAGATTTTGCTTCTAGTCATCTACTCCAATGATGATGAACATTTGATACTCCATCAATGGATATCAACATTGTAGTTGTCTACAGGTCCGACTAGTAAATCCTGTAGTAAAATAATCCAGTCCGAGATTCTAATCATACACAGTCTCTGCTTGCATTCCTCGACTCATCAATAGCAAGGTAAACAAACCAATTGCATGACAGATTTTGCATCTAGTCATCTACTCCAATGATGATGAACATTTGATACTCCATCAATGGATATCAACATTGTAGTTGTCTACAGGTCCGACTAGTAAATCCTGTAGTAAAATAATCCAGTCCGAGATTCTAATCATACACAGTCTCTGCTTGCATTCCTCGACTCATCAATAGCAAGGTAAACAAACCAATTGCATGACAGATTTTGCATCTAGTCATCTACTCCAATGATGATGAACATTTGATACTCCATCAATGGATATCAACATTGTAGTTGTCTACAGGTCCGACTAGTAAATCCTGTAGTAAAATAATCCAGTCCGAGATTCTAATCATACACAGTCTCTGCTGGCATTCCTCGACTCATCAATAGCAAGGTAAACAAACCAATTGCATGACAGATTTTGCATCTAGTCATCTACTCCAATGATGATGAACATTTGATACTCCATCAATGGATATCAATATTGTAGTTGTCTACAGGTCCGACTAGTAAATCCTGTAGTAAAATAATCCAGTCCGAGATTCTAATCATGCACAGCCTCTGCTTGCATTACTCTACTCATAGTCAATGATAATGTAAACAAACCAATTGCGTGAGAGATTTTGCTTCTAGTCATCTACTCCAATGATGATGAACATTTGATGCTCCATCAATGGATATCAATATTGTAGCTGTCTACAGGTCCGACTAGTAAGTCCTGTAGTAAAATAATCTAATCCAAGATTCTAGTCATACACAGTCTCTGCTTGCATTACTTTACTCAGTCACATTCAACGATGGTGTAAACGAACCAATTGCATGAGAGATTTTGCATCTAGTCATCTACTCCAATGATGATGAACATTTGATACTCCATCAATGAATATCTGCTTGCATTACTCTACTCATAATTAATGATAATGTAAACAAACCAATTGCATCAGACATTTTGCTTCTAGTCATCTACTCTAATGATGATGAACATTTGATACTCCATCAATGAATATCAATATTGAAGCTGTCTACAGGTCCAATTAGTAAGTACTGTAGTAAAATAATCTAATCCGAAATTCTAGTCATACACAGTCGCAGCTTGCATTAATCTACTCAGTCATAATCAACGACGGTGTAAACGAACCAATTGCATGAGAGATTTTGCATCTAGTCATTTTACTCAAACGATTATGGACATTTGATACTCCATCAATGGATATCAATATTGTAGTTGTCTACAGGTCCGACTAGTAAGTCCTGTAGTAAAATAATCTAATCCAAGATTCTAGTCATACACAGTCTCTGTTTACATTACTCTACTCACTCACAGTCAACGACGGTGTAAACTAACCAATTGCATGAGAGATTTTGCATCTAGTCATCTACTCCAATGATGATGAACATTTGATACTTCATCAATGGATATCAATATTGTAGTTGTCTACAGGTCCGACTAGTAAATCCTGTAGTAAAATAATCCAGTCCGAGATTGTAGTCATACTGTACACAGTCTATGCTTGCATTACTCTACTCATAGTCAATGACAATGTAAACAAACCAATTGCATGAGAGATTTTGCATCTAGCCATCTACTCAAACGATTATGGACATTTGATACTCCATCAATGGATTGTAACTATCTGCAGGACTGACTAGTAAGTAGTCAAACCATCTAACCCAAGATTATAGTTATACACAGTCTCTTCTTGCGTTACTTTACTCAGTCACAGTCAACGATGGTGTAAACAATCAAATTGCATAAGAGAGTTTGCATCTAGCCATCTACTCAAACGATTATGGACATTTGATACTCCATCCATGGATATCAATACTGTAACTATCTACAGGACTGACTAGTAAGTAGTCAAACCATCTAACCCAAGATTATAGTTATACACAGTCTCAGCCTGCGTTACTTTACTCAGTCACAGTCAACGATGGTGTAAGCAATCAAATTACATAAGAGAGTTTGCATCTAGCCATCTACTCAAACGATTATGGACATTTGATACTCCATCAATGGATATCAATATTGTAACTGTCTATAGGACTGAGTAGTAAGTAGTAAAATAATCTAATCCAAGATTCTAGTCATACACGGTCTCAACCCTGCTTGCATAACTCTACTCAGTCATAGTCAATGACGGTGTAAACAAACAAATTGCATGAGAGATTTTGCATCAACTGAAATGATTACAATATAAATATTTGCATCAATGGATATCAATATTGTAGCTAACAACAGAACCGACTAGTAAGTAGTAAAACAATCCAATCTAGAAGACTTAAAAGCGCTGAGGAATAAGTATGCACTTTTAAGAGGAGCGACGTAAACTTGTAAGAAGATGACTAATAGTATCGTCCAAAATGCAGCAGCTCTGTCACTAGCTGAAACCGCGACATCCGTTATAGCATTACTTTACATAATTATAATCCACTAGCGTAAAAACGGCACGCAATCGATCTGCATAAAATTAAGAAAAAATAGTCCATATTTCAATATTTTATACAATCTGTTACGTAGCAATTGTTCAGTTCTCATAGAAAGGACGGGTAGAGTTAGATCATGGTATTGAAGCGTTATCATACTTGAAAATAACATTTTCGATGGCCTCTTCAACTAAATGAACGAGAGTCCCATTGAAAACTGTTTCAAAACTGATTTCTGCCTATCATGTCGGTTTTTATACAAAGCTATTCCTTACTATAAACTGGCTCTAGTTTGGTCTGATCTGCAGTTTAGTATGAGAGAACCAAAACAAGGGATTTATATTATATTTTATTTTATAATCAACCAACAAAATAAAATATCAAATCTTTAAATGATAGCTTGGAGTATTGAAGAAATATCAAAAGAGATTGCATGTAGGCTCTATTTTAGTAAAAGCAGATAGTTAAAATATCAAATGATTTACAAAGCGTTATCGATATAAGCGCTATTAGTGCTGTAATAGCAGAATCACCAAATGCTCGGATAAATGTCGTCTACAAACGACTTGGAAGCACGTAGACCAGCTAGAAGCCTCGTTTTATTCTTGAATACTGTACCTATCTAGTAGCTCATTTGGATTAATTCAAATGCCAGTAAAAATGTTCCTTTGTGTATTGTTTCCACTACATCATATTATACATTAGTAGAAAGAGACCTAGACGACATATACTAAACGCATGCAAATTATATCTTAAAACAAATACGGTACTCTAAGTAAAAGTAAGCGGCTAAAGCCTCTATTCACTTTTATAAGTAAGTATACTCAATAGGCTTCAAAGAAAAGACAGCTTCCGAACGGCTTACTCTTAGTCATGAATCGATATTACATTAACGAATGATCATTATTCAATAAAAGATTCCTACGCACAGACACTAGGTTACGGCCCATAGCTGGAAATAAAATAAGGACATTGACAGCAACTGCTCTTATAAGACAGCAATTATTTTACTATTTAACTTAAAATAGTATCATTTATTAATAGTTATTTTAGGGCATAGATATCGTAGTCCATCATTTCTTAATAAATAAGTAGAAGATCAGCCGACCAATAGACATTACTAAGGACAAACAACAAAAGACTCCCTAGTTGCCATTGTGAACACATTAATATCGAAAATCCTTCAGAATTGTCATCCACATGGTGTCCACTGTTTATGAAAATTTTTAATTAAATACATACAAAACTTCCTATTTCTATTTCTTCAAGAAAGCCGTGAAACTTGAAATGCAGAATTGGATACATTGTTGAGTCCTAGTAGTTTAAGCATGATCTAATAGTATGCATGCTGTAGTGACCGGCGCTGTTAACAATTTAACCGCTACTTATTTGAAAGCCATCTATTCCCAGCTGTTGCGCTTCTTCCTATAAATAAAATGATACTAATCAAGTTACAAGTTTAAACAGATAGAGTACATGTGCGAGTATATGTACACAAAGGTACAACGATTTTTATCCGCTACGCTAGTCATCCTAAGGATTAAAAGTAAATCTCTATAAGGTCAATTAAGCCTAAGTAAGAGCGAGTTGAACATGACCCCAGAAAGGTAAAAAAAAACGTTAGAAACACCGTCCAGTGGTTCTACAGTAATGTTATTCTGGATATAAATTATTATACAAGATCGTAACTTTAGCATTGCTATATGCTAAATACACTAGTATCTCTTTACTCTGGCCTTCTTTATTACTATTGTCAAAATTTAATAATTATTCAAGTCCCTAGCTATCGTATACTATCATCGGTGATAATAATTGCTGATAGCCAAAAATGAAGATTCTTACAATCAAAAGATCTCGTACCGTCAATATACTTAGCAGCATTTTGTTATTAATGTTATTTATGCAATTACATAAAATGTTTACTGATCGCCAACTCATAGACCAAGCTAAAGATTGGATCTATAAATCGCATCAAGTTTCTCCAATCAATTTAACTATCTTAAGCTATAATGGACAGCGGCGAAATGTCCATGCAACTCCTGGTATAACGGTCAAAACCATGACGAGAGATAAAATTCCTCAATTACCACTTTATCCCCTCCAAACCAATCCAACCTACTATGGCAGTATGTTTAATACTATGGAACGACAACCAAATTGTCAAGATCTATCTCATCGATCAGCATCAGAAATTAATTATGTCCGGGAAGCATTTCGCTTGCATCAAAATAGAACGTTTCTATCGAATGAACTTTTAGCTAAAGAAACCCAATATTGTCAAAATCCAATTTATCAATCTTATCCAAATATATCACTAAGTCAGGAAGAGAAAGAGTATCCAATTGCATTTACTTTAACTGTCCATAAGAATGCTGAACAAGTTGAAAGATTATTACGCAGTATTTATATGCCTCATAATTATTACTGTATCCATGTAGATAACAAATCATCGCCAGCGTTTACACAAGTAATGATGAACTATGCTAAATGTTTCCGTAATATTATTGTATTCAATTTAATTTCAGTTATACCAACGACCTATTCGCGAATACAAGCTGATCTATACTGTATGGAAGCACTTCTTCTTCATCATCACAATTGGAAATACTGGATTAATTTATCCGGCGATGATTATCCATTAATGACAAATCGAGAATTAGTCCAATATCTAAAAACACTAAATGGCCAAAATGATATTGAAACTTTAGTTGCTGCTCATTTAAAATCGAGATATCAATATCATTACTATTTATCAAAAAGTGGACAATATTTACCAAGTACTAGATTTAAATCCCCAATATCGTTAAATAATGTTAGAATTTATAAAGGCGGATCATTTATCGCGGCTACGTATGAATTTTGTCAATTTGTTATGAGTAATATGACAGCAAAAGCAATCTTAAACTACTTTAATGATACTTTTCTACCTAGTGAAAATATCTGGGCAACATTGCAGCGAATCGACGGTGTTCCAGGTTCAATACATTTCAATCAATCATATCGAACTAAAGCTGTTTCATCAAAATCTCGCCTAACTAATTGGGGATCAACACATTGTTACGGCTGGTGGAGAAAGGGTCAATGTACTTATTCAGTAGGAGATTTAAGATGGCTATTTGATAAAAATCATCAACACTATTTATTTGCATCTAAATTCGATATTAGGAGAGATCATGTTGTAATGGATTGTATTGAATTAGATAGAAGAAATCGCATGAAGCAAGAAATCGCTAGCACAACGTTTTAAGAGTATGTTTTTCCTGGTTTTGTAATCATGATTGATAATGTTTTAAATTTTATTTCTAATTAATTAGAAATTAGCTATTATTCCTATCGCTAGTCCATGATTACTACAGATACAGCGTCAGATAACTATTTCTAGCATGATACCAAGTTATAACCTATATACGTATGATAGCTTACCATGTTTTTTATCTATCGAATATGATTGCACTATCTACCACTAGTAAGTTCTTTCAAGAATATAGAGTCACTGAAACAGATATGTATTTCGTATCCATTAAACTTATTCTATCTATATTAAACCAGATATCGAAATGGATACGGTCAATGATGCAAACATTGGAATATTCTTTTCAAGTATTTGAGCTAACTCTTCGATCGAAGTTGGACAAAAACTATCCTGTAGTTAAAAATCTGGCTGTAAAATTAATCATTCTTACTAAAAATTTGGATCACTAGACACTATACTATTATATCTTAGATCATATTCTATAAAAAGTATTATTGAGAGAGTCTGTACCTTCATTTCTACTTTATCTATAGCAATATGCTGCACTTATTTATTTCATCAATCGTTATCGACGAATCTATCTTATGGTTTGAAAGGGTTAACCATTACTTAAATCTTTAGCCTCGTCTGCAATCAAGCTTTTATCGCTTAGACTCTCTTTGTAACTGCTTTAATTTAACAAGATTTAAATTTCGCTAGCTACGATGCTTTTTTTCAATTTCGTCAGTTGACATCTAATAATTGCTCTAGCTAAGTTTATATATTGTACTTAGTGTACCATTATGTAACCTACAGATACGTTTTCTTGTAGGTTTTTATAATTTGTATGTTACTTTTTATTGCTACTGTTAAGATATTTTGAATTCATATAATAAAAGTATACCCTGCTGACCCTACTAGCTAATTTCTAAAGATTTTTCTACCTTTAAATTCATCATTTCGTACGGAATTCTACGAGAAACTATCATACCAGCCTATAGCAATGTTTAGTATTACGTGTTGTAACTTAAATTTACTTTTATAGCCACTCCTATTTCAGATCATTTCGACGATACAAGTATTATTTACAATATCAATATCGACGTGAATAAATGATATTTCATAAATTCTAAGATTTAACTACAATATATATAATACATTAAGCTACAATTAGCTATCATTATCTAAAACTATAGCCACATTTATTACACCTTTATGTTATTATAACTGACGGATCACATTTATTTGCACTTTCGCAAAAGATACTACATTGCTTCGTAAGTTAGAATATACGAATTGAAATCTAATTTTTTCTATAGCTGCAATTAGCAATTAGAATCATGTACCTTTTAGATCGAACTTTAAAATATAGTTTTATATTAATATTATAAACAATAAGGCTACTTCAAAGATAACTGAAGAGGATAAATGATGTCAGATCATCGATAAAATAAATTAATGCAGTTCTGTAATAAGAGTTGAGAAAAAATGCCTACTAAATCGATATGGGCGTAAATGCTTCAGAGTACATATGACATATTTCTGGATATGAACTACGAAGAAAATTATCATGTTTACTGTTATACAACAGATTTAGATAACTTCTTTACTTAATTTTTAGTAAATATCAAGCAGGTAATACATAAAAATATACAGTATATTACTGTGCATCACTGTGCAAATGTGCATAGTTAGATGGCTTATTCAGTTAATTCTTAAGTAAGCATTAGGCAACTAATATACATACACAAATATCGTATATAATACTACGTATCATTCCTGATAGTAACTACAGTATAAGTACACGCATATTCACAAAGTTATAAACTATTCTCTAATCCCTTTCTTTCGACAAATTGTTAATTTAATCATTATAAATAATTAACTCCTGAACACATTATACCAAACATCCATAAGATTTTCGTACTAGCGCATTTTTGATTTCAACTTAGAGGCTATACTTTTACTTTTACCGCTATAAAGTCGAATAATACACTCCAGTTAAACTACTTTGCAGCTACCATCTTGATCTATCTGTTACTAAATTAAGAATTGTTAAGGTATCTACAACCATCATGTACTGAAGTTACAGTTATTAAAGAGATCGAAAACATGATCGACATGTACGAAAGCGTACATCAAGTATGATGTGAATAGAATCTATTAATAGAAACTATGTTAACTTACTATCGGGACACGTATGTTGCGAAATTAATCAAGCCATATAATTATTGGGCTATTATGAACAGTGCGAAGTTAAATAATTAAAAACATTTAGTAAATACGTTTATCTATTATCATATTGAATTTTAAAGAGTAAAAATAGAATTTTTACACATTTTTGAATACCAAAGGCAACGAATTCAGCTTTGGCTAGAAAGAAAATATCAATATATTTAGGATTATTAGATTAGTATTGACCAAAGTTAGCATTTTAAAATGAAGATGCTGCATAACATCCAGTACAGTACTAAACTGCATGTAGTAGAAATCGCTGACTATGTGGAAGATTATTAGTAGCTGTTAGTGAAATATATGCGATTTACTTCATGTCAATAAGGAGAGAAAACGTTAGATAAATGCAAATAAAGAATTGATATTCTAAACAGTAATAATTATTTGGCTATAGGTATCAAATACATATTTTACTTATTTCCAACGCGAACTAATTAGTAGTTTTTACTGTCTTATTTTGATTATAGCCAGCTACATCTACTGCAATCATGTTCACACGATTAGAGAAAACACATTTGCGTAGAAGCGTCCTAAAATCACGAAATCGAAATATTAAGTAAAGCAATGGATCGATAGCAGTATTGGAAAATGGAAGCATGCCAATCGCTTTTCTTATTTTACTTGGAATAATTATCTTATTAATATTATCATAAATAGCAGCTCCAGCAATAACGTAGAAACTAAACACGCTTGTTAACGCGATAAAAGTCAATGTAATCTGAAGTCTTTTATCAAATACAGATCGGAATTGTGACCTAGAAATTGTTGTAGATTTTCTTAACGTAACTATCATATGTATATACAATATAAAAGCAGTTGTATAAGCTATGAGAATGTAAAGTAATTCCAATAATCCGAGAATAAAATAAATCTGCTCCAAATCATACAACCCAAGACATAAGTTTGAAGTTCGTTCAAAAGTATAAGGGGATAGTTTCCTCTTTCCAATATTATCAAATACAACTATACCGGCCGCTATAATAATACCAGCAATCCAAATGATACTAGTCAGAATTTTACTCTTTTTAATGGTTAGCTTTCTTCTATTATACGGGTAAACAATTAGCATGAAGCGATCGACCGCAATAAGAAGCGTCAATGTAGATGACATACACAAATAAATCTTTGAAAGAAATTGTGCGAAGCTGCAAGCCGTAGTCTTAAACCATTCATTTTTTATTAAAGAATAACTTACATTAGCCAAATGCTGATACTTATGTTGATAATATTGAGTGTAATAAGCATCAGAAATAACTATTATTGTAATATAAGTAACACCAATAAGATCGCAAACTAATAAATTGAAAAGTAGCCATAGTGAAGGTTTTCTCATATGTTCGCAGCGGTCTCTTCCAATTGCAGGAAGCTTACATGTAAAACATTCCGATATAATTATATATCCAATTAGAAAGAGATTTATGGGTAAACCAATTAGAACAACAGTCAGAGCTATGATTCGCGAAGAATCACTATTCATAAAGGGAGAATATAAGCTGAAGTTGGACATTCTTAAAATGAAACTCCGAGACGTAACATTAAATTTCGAAAAGATGGTTATAAAAGAATGCAGCAATTGTTAGAACAAAGCTGCACGTTTACTTTCTTACGATTTTTATTATAAATACCCTTTCTCTAGTCATGATCAAATTAAATTTTAGCACCATCTATAAAAACGTCATTAAATCTTTATTTAGTTATGGCTATTATCTAGCTATATCATATTTGAAATTTATGGCATTAATAAATCAATTATTTTGATCCTTTCATTGTCTAACCACTTTTATACCTATTCAAATAACTAAACATACAGTAAATAATATACAGTAGTTTATAAACGTCATTTTACCGGTGAAGGAAAAAAGTTTTTATCAACGTAAGCAGGCATTGATGAAATTGAGACGGAGCGATGTGAAAAAGAATGAGACCATACTATGCTTAGGAGAAACAATCATTTTATATCAAGGTTTATGATTTAAATTTTGTACAAGGGTACTGTTTATTATAATCACAGAATTCATAATTAAAATAATGCACTATAGGTTTATCATAGTTAAGAATTCAAGCAATTTACTGTGATAAATCCTGTGTTTAGTGAATATTAAAATTAAGCCTTGACTTATTATTTATTATGTTTACATATGTATATGTTAACGGCAATTTGCGAAATCAGGCATCTTGCAAAATACTTGAAATACTTTAGGTATTTTGCAAAATGCCTATAATGAATATCTGTATTTGAAACCATTTACATTTATATTATTTAAATCATGTCTCTATACCGTATATAAATTCTCTAGACAAATAACGAGGTAGTATAGACATCAATGCAGAGATAATAAATAATAAGTCGGAATTCATTTTTAATATGTTAAGCCAATAGATTGAGGTAGCACGTGTGAGCAATTATTCTG